GATGAAGGGTCTAGGCCCGAAACGTCAACCTCTCTGCTCCTATGATGCTGCTTGGCCTGCTGTGTTCATCCAGCCCTGCACCTTGTTGTCTTAGACATAATGCTTGTTAATTTGAGCTGGAATTATAAATTTAAGTGTTGCCCCAGAGTTGATAACATAATCTGTGATCTGTAGTTAGCCAGTCTTTGTTTTGCTCTCTCTCCAACATTGTAATTACATCGGCTACACCTTGGCAATTTGTCATAATTCATATTGAAAAAGGACTGAAAAATTAGAACCAGCACCTCACCTACTTGTATTCTGTCTTCGTTCAATAGTCTAGACGTCATAACAGCAGGATATCAACATTATGCTCCACTGGTTTTTCAGATTCTTTTCCATACAGCTAACGTAAGGACTAATGAGCCTAACTGACATCCTGGCAATGGCTGTGTATCCTGTGTCAGGCACCTGGCTTAATCAAGGGAGAATTTGCCACCACAAGGAGTCCTCAACATTGATTCCGGACCCCATGAACTCTTGTGGCTTCAGGTTAAACATGGAAAAGGAAGCCTCCCACTGATTACCACCTACTGTCTTCCCTTGGCTGATGAATCGGTACTCCTCCATGTTGAACAACACCTGGAGGAAGCACTGAGGGTGGAAACGGCACAGAATGTACTCTGGGTGGGGGATTTGAATGTTCACCACCAGGAGTGGCTCGGCAGCAATACTACTGATCGAGCTGGTCAGGTCCTAAAGGACATAGCTGCTAGACTGGGTCTGCGGCAAGTGGTGAGGGAACCAACAAGAGGAAAAAACATACTTGACCATCCTTATCAATCTGCCAGTTGCAGATGTATCTGTCCATGACAGTATCGGTAAGAGTGACCATCGCACAGTCCTTGTGGAGACGAATTCTCACCTTCACAATGGAAATAATATCCATTGTGTTCGTGTGACATTATCACCTTGCTAAATGGGACAGACGTCGCATAGATCTAGCAACTCAAGACTGAGCATCCATGAGATACTGTGGGCCATCAACAGCAGCAGAATTGTACTCCAGCACTAACTGTAACTTCTTGGCCCACTCAACCATCACCATCAAGCCACGGGTTCATTGGAGAGTGCAGGAGGGCATGCCAGGAGCAGCACCAGGCATACCTGAAGATGAGGTGTCAACCTGGTGAAGCTACCAAAAGGACTATTTGCACACCAAACAGCGAAAGCAGCAAGTGATAGACGGAGCTAAACGATCCCACAACCAACGGATCAGATCTAAGATCTGCAGTCCTGCCACATCCTGTCGTGAATGGTGGTGGACAATTAAACAACTCACTGGAGGCGGAGGCTCCCCAAATATCCCCATCCCCAATGATGGAAGAGCCCAGCACATCAGTGCAAAAGATAAGGCTGAAGCATTCGCAGCAATCTTCAGCCAGAAGTGCCAAGTGGATAATCCATCTCAGCCTCCTCCAGTGGTCCCCAGCATTACAGATACCAGTCTTCAGCCAATTTGATTCAATCCACGTGGTATCAAGAAACGGTTGGAGACACTGGATACTGCAAAGGCTATGGGCCCTGACAACATTCCGGCAATAGTACTGACGACTTGTGCTCCAGAACTTGCCGCTCCCCTAGCCAAGCTGTTCCAGTACAGTTACATTACTGTCGTCTACCCAACAATTTGGAAAATTGCCTAGATATGTCTTATACGCAAAAAAACCCAAAATAAATACAACCCAGCCAATTGCACTTCATCAGTCTACCCCCAATCATCAGTTAAGTGATGGAAGGTGTCATCAACAGTGCTATCAAGGAACACCTGCTCAGCAATAACCTACTCAGTGACGCCCAGTTTGAGTTCTACCTGGACCACTCAGTTCCTGACCTTATTACAGCCTTGATTCAAAAATGGACAAAAGAGCTGAATTCCAGAGGTGAGGTGAGAGTGACAGCCCTTGACATTAAGGCTGCATTTGACCGAGTGTGGCATCGAGGAGCCCTGGCAAAACTGGAATCAATGGGTATCGGGGCAAACTCTCCACTGGTTGGAGTTGTACCTGGCACATAGGAAGATGGTTGTAGTTGTTGGAGTCAGTCATTTCAGCTTCAGGACATCTCAGCAGGAGTTCTTCAGGATAGTCCTAGACTCAACTATCTTCAGCAGCTTCATCAATGACCCTCCCTCCATCATAAGGTCAGAAGTGGGGAAGTTCACTGATGATTGCACAATGTTCAGCACCATTAGGAGCTCCTCAGATTCTGATGCAGTCTGTGTTCAAATGCAACAAGATCTGTACAATATCCAGGCTTGGACTAACAAGTGGCAAGTAACATTTACAGCACGCAAATGCCAGGCTATGACCATCACCAATAAAAGACAATCTAAACACCACCCCTTGACATTCAATGCTGTTACCATCACAAAATTCCTCACTATCAACATCCTAGGGTTACCATTTACCAGAAACTCAATTGGATTCATCACATAAACATAGTGGCTACTAGAATAGGTCAGAGGCTAGCAATGATGTGATAAGAAACTCATCTCCTAACTCCCCAAAGCCTGTCAATCATCTACAAGGCACAAGTAAGGAGTGTAATGGAATACTCCCATTTGCCTGGATGAGTGTGTCTCCAACAAAACTCAAGAAGCTTCCAGGACAAAGCAGCCCCCATTTGACTGGCACCACATCCACAAACATTCACCACTGATGCTCAGTAGCAGCAGTGTGTACCACGTACAAGATGCACTGCAGAAAATCACCAAAAATCCTCAGACAACACCTTCCAAACCCATGACCACTTTCATTCAGAAGGACAAGGGCAGCAGATACATGGGAACACCATTCCCTGCAAGTTCCCCTGTAGGCCACTCAGCATCCTGACTTGGGAATATATCGCCGTTCCTTCACTGTCACTGGATCAAAATCCTGGAAGTCCCTCCCTAAGGGCTTTGTGGGTCAACTCACAGCAGGTGGACTGTGATGGTTCAAGAATCAGTCTGGTAAACCTTCGCTGTACTCCCTGTATAGCAAGAACACCCTTCCTCAGACAAGAAGATCAAAATTGCACACTGTATGACAGGAGTAGTTATAATTGCATAATCGCAGCAAGACATTTCTTTCCCCGGTACCCGAATTGTCTTGCTGTAAGACCAACATACCATTTGCCTTCTTGAATGCCTGCTGCACCTGCATGCTTACCTGCAGTGCATGGTGCGTGAGGATACCAGGTCTCATTGCAAATTTCTGTGTCTCAATTTATAGCCATTCGGATAACAATCTGCCTTCCGGTCTTTTGCTAACCTCACATTTATCCATACTTTATTGCATCTGTCATGCTAGTCTCCCACCACTTGGAGAAAGAAATGAAGGGGAAATTATTAAAAGAATTTGGAGAAAGAGCAGGGAGAGTGGGACCAACTCTATCCAAAGAATTTATTAGCCTTTTCTAGAGAAAACTATTCCAGGTACTTATGATGTCATCGTTCTGTTATCGTACTTGTAAATGTTTTTCCACTGTCCTTAATGACTCTGTATCTTTTCTACAACATGGAGACTGGAGCACTTAGGTCTGGTCCATCTAAGTTTAATTTAATGCCAGTTCTTAAAAAGATTGTATCTGAAAAAGTGGCCTTATTATACTCAAAACAATAACTTTGCTTCTCTCTCCACAGATGCTGCCAGACCTGCTGAGTCTCCAGCACTTTCTGCTTTCAATTCAGATCACCAGCATCAGCAATATTTTGCTTTTAATCACATAAGTTCTGTCATTCAGTTAACTTAATTGTAAATTACCCTCAACAGCTGCTTGTTATACAAATATGTTCCTTTGGATATCTTCCCCTCGGTTGGAGCAGATGATGGCATGTATACTGTGGATGGCAAACAGCAATCTTCAGTTCAAATCCCAACCTCCCACCGTACAAGGATGGCTGTTCTCACTGGCAGACAGGTACCAAAGAATATCTAACAAACTTTATGTTCAGTTCATAGGCTTTGTAAACTATGCACTTAGACATTAATAAATGTATTTTGTCAATTGCTGTCAATTGCAAAAGAACTGCGGATGCTGTAAATCAGGAACAGAAACAAAGTTGCTGGAAAAGCTCGGCAGGTCTGGCAGCATCTGTGGAGGAGAAAATAGAGTTAACGTTTGAAGGGCCACCGGACCCGAAACGTTAACTCTGTTTTCTCCTCCACAGATGCTGCCAGACCTGCTGAGCTTTTCCAGCAACTTTGTTTTTGTTCATGAAACCATTGTCAATTGTTATAAAAACCCATCTGTTTCACTAATGTCCTTTAGGAAAGGAAATTAGCTGTTCTGACGTAGTATGGCTAAATGTGTCTCGAGGCTCACAGCAATGGGGTTGATTCTTAACTGCTCTAGGGAGGGCAAAGAAATGGTGGCCAGCCAGGAATACCCACTTCCCAAGACATATATAAAAAAGTCTGTCTGCAAGTTTTAGCTGATAGGCCTGGATAGTTCATGTATCCTTTTTACACAATTCTGAATAACTACTTCCATTCAAATACAGACATAGACAGGTGACAAGAGGGACAAATATAACATAAGCACAACTATAATGTGTTGGTGAGGATGAAACATTACATGATTCATGAAGTGCAAGACAGCAGTGGGAGTATGTGAGAAGGATCCAGTTTTTCAGTGGATACCATGGGAAAGCAAGATCTTGTGTTTCATGATCTCAGGATGTCCTAAAGCACTGCACGACCAAGGAACTAGATGTGAACTGTAATCCTAGTTGTAATGTAGAAAGCACATCTCACAGGAGCTCTCCAGACAGTAATATTGTAATGACTAGTTAATCAGAGAGAACTTTTCTCACTCTTCTTCGAAATAATGGCATGACGTATTTATCTGAGAACAAACAGAGTTTAAAGTCTTATCTGAAAGAAAGGAACACAGGAGCAGGGACAGGTTAGTCAGCCCCTAAACCTACCCCACCTCAAACCTGCTCCACCATTTCTTTTTTGTATTTTGTCAGAAACTTTGCATGAGAATGGTTTTTGTGTTTGCTACGCAATCCATTGAATGCCATCAGAATAATGTGCCATTATTATTTTAAAGACCAGGATGAAGTGATTATTGTATTAAATACAAGAATGATAACACTGATTAACTTTATATGTATAAGGGGTCCTGGTTTATGAATGTCTGACATAACGAACTCTCATACTTACAAACGAGATCCTGTATTACTATTAATTTTAAGGTAAAGTTAAAGTCAACAGCATCTTACCAATCATAGAGCTGGTCTCTCATTAGAGAGAGGCAAGTGCTAGTTTAACCTGATGATCATCACGCCTCAGGCAAAGGGAGAGGTTAAGAAGTTTGGCTATTGACATCACTCTACATCACAAACCTCAAACCAGCTGTCCAGCCAACTGAGCTAACTGACCCCCAGTTTTACGGATCTAACATGTGGACATTTGCTCACACTTATGAATGGATATTTTACACTGTATTGTGTTCTGACTTGTGTACAAATTGACTTATGAACGTACTCAAGAATGGAACCTATTGGTAATCCGGGGTTCTCCTGTACTGTGTATTTCAGGATTTTTTCAATTCTCTTTCAACTTTATTTGTGTTAGGATTCAAATTAAAATTTGTTATTTTTTTCCACACTGTCAGATTTTCTTCTTTTATAGTTTGTCCCTCATTTACATGTTATATTGTTCTATTGTTTTGTCAAAGAGCTGCTAATTTTATTTGCATTGGAAATATTTTTGAAATTGCTTAATGGTTTTCTGAACACATAAGCAGTAGCCCTCAGCAATGGTAAAACTTTGCATTTGTAGAATGTGGTCTGGTTGTTATTTAACTCCTCATTATACAAAACATTTCTCCCACCTCTAAATGTCCTTTCATTTGGCCTTTATTTTTGGAAGTATATGGTGTACCTTAAAGCTGTGGGATATGAGACGAGCCCCTATCCAAACTCATAGATGGATTTAACAGAGCAGAAAAACAGCTGCTGGTGTTTATGATAATAGAACTAGGAGTCATGTCATGGATAAAAGGCCCTGCTTACTCATTTCAGCTGGGAGATTTGTTTGTTCTTTAATGTGTTTGCAGCCAAAAGGACAACAACAAAAGCATGTTGATAGATGCTTCTTTAAAGAAATAGAGATGCATTGCCAAAGATCTTATCATCACTGTGATCAGTGGCCCTGTTCCTTTCACTGCACTCTATTACTTCATTCAGATTATTGTGAGGTTTTATCACGGCTGCATGACTCACATAATGGATGAGGAAGACAGTGACTGATAGTAGTTTTTAAGATTTGTTCTTTGGGTGAGTATTGCTCACAAAACTTACATTGCCCGTTGCTAATGGCTCATGAGACGTTGATGGTGACCACCTGTTTGAAACTCCACAACTGGTACAACCTAATGGCTTGCTAGGATATTTCCAAGCTAAAAGTCATCTATATTTCTGTGAATCTGGAATCACATTTAGGCTAGACAAGATATTAAATTTGTTTGGACTGAAATGCAGTCATGTACAAATGTTCTTTCTAGTCTGTTGTATTCATATGTCCTCCATCATGCAGCACACACTCTATGGACAAATACCTCCAGCTCTCTTCCCATTAAGACATCGTGTTGAACATACTGCTGCATTGTACCAACAAAACATGGTATTAGAAGTGATACTGAGATGGATGTTGCAAAGCTGTAAAAAAGCATAACTACAGACAGAGACAGCTGTGAGCTGCCTGCAAAGTGAAGAAAAAAGAACAACAAAGCAAGCCATTGTTCAAAGTCTGATTCAGAGAAAAGAGTTGTAGCTTTTTTATTTTATTCATTCATGGCCATAGCTGGCTAAGCCAGCATTTATTGTCCATCCCTAATTGTCCTTGAGAAGATGGTGGTGAGGTACCTTCTGGAACTGCAGTGTTTGGGGTGCAGGGTCAAGCTATTCAAAGGACACGGAGTATGAAGTAAAACTGGAATCTCTTCCATGCACAGTAGAAGAATTATGAAATCGCAGCAAAATTTGTTGAGCCAGAATAGTTTAAAGTAACTGCACTTCTATCACTGTTCGGATGAGACGGTTTCAAAGTATATTCCACTCTAAGTCTCTTTAGGACTTTGTTGCTAAGTTTGTAGTTGACACAAAGATTGATGGAGAGCCAGCTAGTGTTGGGAAATGGGGAAGCTGCAGAAGGACTTGGATATGCAAGGCAATTGAGCAAGTAAGTTGGAGGTGGAATACGATGTAGAAAAGTGTGAGATTGTACTCTTTGGTAGGAAGAAGAGAGGATCAGACTATTTTCTAAATGGGGAAGGCCTTCAGAAATCTGAAGCACAAAGGGACTAGTACAGAATTCTCTTATGGCTAACATTCAGGTTCAGTTGGCAGTCAGGAAGACAAATGCAATGTTAGCATTCATTTGAAGTGGACTAGAAAACAAGGGCAGTGATGTACTGCTGAGACTATACAAGGCTCTGGTCAGACCACATTTGGAATATTGTGGGCCCCATATCTAAGGAAGGATGTGCCGTCATTGGAGGGGCATCCAGAGGAGGTTCACAAGAATAATCCCAGGGCTGAAAATCTTGTCATATGAGGAGCACTTGAGGACTCTGGGTCTGTACTCGGAGTTTAGAAAGATGAGGTGGGGATCTAATTGAAACTTACAGAATACTGAGAGGCTTGGATAGAGTAGATATGGAGAAGATGTTTCCATGAGTAGGAGAGACTAGGACCCAAGGGCACAGCCTCAGAGTGAAGGATAACCCTTTGGAACTAAGATAAGGAGGAATTTCTTCAGCCAGAGGGTGGTTATTCTGTGGAACTCATTGCCTCAGAGGGCTCTAGAGTTGAAGTCATTGAGTGCATTTAAGACAGAGATAGATAGGTTGAGGGTTGGGAAGAGGATCATAGGTTATGGGGCAAAGGCAGGAGAATGGGCACCATGATCAAATGGCAGAGCAGGGTCAGTTGACTGGATAGCCTAATTCTGCTCCTTTGTCTCATGGTCTTATGGTCTTTCCTGTCTAGGGACATTTGGAATATTATAGCTAATGGAGAGAAGAAATTCCTCTTCATCTCTGTCTTAAATTGGCACTGCTTTGTTCTGAGACTATGCCCTCTGGTTCTAGACTCTCCCATGAAGGGAAACATCTTCTCAGCATTTATCCTGTCAAGCCCCTTGAGAATCCTATACATTTCAATGAAATCAGCTTTCATTCTTAAAAATTCCAATGAGTAGAGTCCCAACCTGTTTAGCCTTTGCTCATAAGACAATCCCTCCATAACAGGAATCATCCTTGTGAACCTTCTCTGAACTGCTTTCAGTGAAATAATATCTATCCTTAAATAAGGGAGTATTATCATCTGGTTTAGAGCTTCATTTTAGCTGTTATCTATCCACAATGAGGCTCCTAAAATGCTATTGCATTAGACTGAGTGTTCAAATGTAGAACATCATGTACAGAAGAAGCACAATCAGATCGGTTAAATGCTTCTCCACTAACATCACTTATTCCTCCCCTTAGGTTCAGCTACGGTTTAGAATTAAGGTTCCTGAACCAGCCCAATATGTGTTTATACTTGAATATACCAATGAAGACAAGGGACTACATAAGCTTAATGTGGCACCACTCAATCCACTTGGAGCAGCTACACAAGGGACATTTAATCTGTACAGCTGCAAATACAGGTATTGTTAGACACAATGGGATAGACCCAGGTAACATAGCGATACATCTCTCCTAGTTGCTTTAGTTACACAATAGTCCTAACAAGGAACATAGCATGAAGGATGAATCTCTGCTTGCAAGTGTGGTTAGATACAACATGAAGTGACCAATCTTTGCTTATTTGTGTGTCTAAACTCAATAAGAAATATTCTGGAAATTCTGGATAAAAACAGAAAAATGATGGAAATATTCAGCAGGTCAGGTGCATTTGTGGAATGTCGTCACTGTATCATCAGCAAAACAAAATAAGATCAGGAATTTCAATGAGAGATTCATAAATTTTAGTTCCTTATTACAATCAAATAAGTAGCCTGCAGGATGATTTGAATATTTTGATTTTTTGTATTTATAAAAGATATAATTGCGACCATTTGAATTTGCTGCAGTTTCCTTTGTCGGAGTGTTGCAATTGACCCACAGAATCGCATTGCAGTCTTTGATCTGCCTTCTTACGCTGACCTCCTTCTGCAAGGTACATCAATCAGTTTTTTACTGGTAAGTACATTATTCAAGTGATGTGTGAACCAGCTAAACAAATTGAATGTTGCTTCAGTAGTGGACATATTAGGGCATGTTGCATTTTGTCAAATCTGTTACTTTTCCTGGGATAAGTTTCCAAGTTAAATTTTCCAAGCCCATACTCATGATAAGTTACAATATCTGCCGTGAGAGCACATGAACAGCACCTAACATGTGTGGTGATTGTCAAGCCACTGAGAATATTTACTCTTAACAGAAAATCATTTCACAAAATTGCCCTTAGGTAATAATTGTGCAACTCAGTGTCTGTAAAGTATAATCTTCAGATTTTTTTATTAGTTAAAGACCGATCTGTGCTCTAGATCTGATGTATTATTATTTAAATGGAGAAACACTGCAGAAAGCTACAGAATAGAGGGATTTGAGAGTCTTCATCCATGAATCACAAAGAAAAATAACATCCAAGTTTGAATCAGGAGACAGTCAGGACAGAACTGGGAAGAATTTCTGAATTGCTTAAGATAAAAATTCCAGACACAGAAGCCTGTTGAAGATATGAATTTTCAGAACATATGTTGGCTTTCATTGACAGGGGAATTGAGTTTAAGAGCCGCGAGGTTATGCTGCAGCTGTATAAAGCCCTGGTTAGACCACACTTGGAATATTGTGTTCAGTTCTGGTCGCCTCATTATAGGAAGGTTGTCAAAGCTTTAGAGGGGGTGCAGAGGAGATTTACCAGGATGCTGCCTGGACTGGAGGGCAGGTCTTATGAGGAAAGGTTGAGGGAGCTAGGGCTTTTCTCATTGGAGTAAAGAAGGATGAGAGGTGACTTGATAGAGGTGTACAAGATGATGAGAGGCATAGATAGAGTGGATAGCCAGAGACTTTTTCCCAGGGCGGAAATGACTTTTACGAGGGGGCATAATTTTAAGGTGATTGGAGGAAAGTATGGGGAGATGTCAGAGGTAGGTTCTTCACACAGAGAGTGGTGGGTGTGTGGAATGCACTGCCAGCAGTGGTAGTGGAGTCAGATACTTTAGACACTTTTAAGTGACTCTTGGATAGGCACATGGATGATAGTATAATGTAATGTATGCAGGGTAGTTAGATCTTAGTAGGATAATAGGTCGGCACAACATCGTGGGCCAGAGGGCCTGTGTTGTGCTGTACTGTTCTATGTTCTATGTTAAAGCGTATGTGAGCTGAGTTAGCAGTTTGTTTGAAGATCACAGAGAGAGTCTTTAACTCAAGAAAATAGCATTAAGTCAATGCAGAAATTAGATAAAAAGAAATCAAATACAGCCACGCAAACTAATAAGGAAATTTAAATTGGAGACAGGGGTAACCCTTCACTGAAGTTTGACTACTCATCTGTAAAGTTGTTGAGGTTAAAAGTGTTTGGTCATTCTTTCTGATATTTATAATGAGCTTATTTCAAATATCTTTGCATAGTGTAACATGGTTACTGTCCTCCTTTCATGTCATAAACCTTTATGTTCCTTTATTATAAATATGTTGGCAACCTTGTGTGACTGACCACCATGGTAACTAAAGCAAAACCTATGCTCTGTCAAGCCAGGTCTCACTTCGGATATGACTTGTCCAGTATCACCATCAGATGGGACCATAACAACATCTGTCCTGAGATGCGTTGACCAGTGCTGAATACAATTACTTCAGATGCAATCTAATTTCTGCAGCTGAAAATTCTTTTGTAGTCCAAATAAGCTAATGTTAAGACTAATATTTCATTAGCCTTTTTAATACTTGGTAGCCGAGAATGAAAATCCTTTGTGCTGTTCCAGTTGGAATCCTGCTTCCTTGTAATTCATGTGGTTCTGCCATGTATGATAAGGCAAGTGATAAGAGTCATTAGGGAAAGTCCCTGTTATCAAATCATAAATGTCCTGACAGTACAGAAATTGGTATTACAGGCAATTGAGATAATATATTTATTAATATTTTGCATTTTTATTCCTTTCCATGGACAGCACAAAGTTTATTTAGTACCTTTTAAAGAGTTCTGCATTGAACACGTGGAGCCTAAGGTCCACTGCATTGCCACCCATGGACCCATCACAAACAGGAGGTAAAACATATCTCATGACCTTTCTTGCTCAACATTTCAGAAGGGAGAAATTATTATGAAGGGCCTGTAAAATTCAGTCCCACGCCTATGAACTTGCCAGAAGTTGTGAGGTCAGGTGGGAGTCACTTCAACTCATGTAAGTAAACCAGGGAAGTGCGTAAAGGTTCTGAAAAATGGAGCTGAGAATTCTCTGTGGACTGAGGTAACCCACACTCCTGGAATGATGACTTGACATTTCTGGCTCTTATTTTAAGAATGTTAAAATGCTTTTTGTTCATTATGACCTGGAACATGTAATATGAAAGGGATGTAGAAGCTTATTCGTTAGTAACTTCCAAAAGGGAATTGGATAAATACATGAAAAGAAGTCATTGACAGGGCTACTAGGAAAGAATGGGGGAGTGGCACTTTTTTAAAATTATAATTCATGAGATGTGGGTAGCACTGGCTAGGCCAGCCCGAGTTGCCCCGTGGATAGTTAAGAGTAAACCACATTGCTGTGGACCAGGAGTCATATGTAAGGACAGCAGATTTCCTTCCCTAGAGGATCTGAGTGAACCAGATGAGATTTTATGACAATGGTTAAATGCAATTAGGTCAACTCTTCATTCCTGAGTTTTATTAAATTCAAATTTCAGTATCCACCATGGTGGTACTCAAATCCACGTCCCCAGAACATTAAACTGTGGTTCTAGATCACTACTCCAATGACAATACCAGTAAGCCACCAACTTCCCAATTGGATAGCTGTTTCACAGAGCCATGCAGGATATGGGCTGAATGGTCTCGTTATGTGCTATATGATTCTAGGATTCCTGATCTGTGGAAAATGCTGTGAAGTTAAAATTTATTGACCAACTGTAAATGACCACCAATTGTGATGACCCACTGTCTTAAACTTCTACATTCCATGTGTTGAAATGCTCCCAGATTTCTGTTGGGAGTGAATTTGACCCAGCAACCATGATAAAAATGATATATTTCCAAGTCAGAGTGATGTGTGATTGAGAGGGCAATCTCTAGAAAATAGTGTTCCAGAGGTGCTTGACAGGAGACTGTGGTACATCGTATAGATTTTAAAGCCCACAGCTAAACTCTGCTGATGCTAGAAGAGACAGTTATTGATGTACTGGATAGCATTGATTTCCTTGACTGTTGCTATGAATAAAACCACCAAGCAAGTGGAAGGTTTTCTATCACACTGAGGAGAGAGTCATAGAGTCATACAGCACTGAAATAGACCGTTCTTCCAACACACCCATGCCGACCAAGTTTCCCAAACTGATCCCATTTGACTGCATTTGGCCCATATCTCTCTAAGCCTTTTCTATTCATGTACTTGTCCAAATGTCTTTTAAATGTTGTAACTGTACCTTCATCTGCCACTTCCTCTGGTAGTTCATTCCATACGTGCACCACCCTCTTGTGTGAAGAAGTTGCCTCTCAGGTCCTTTTTAAATCTTGAACAAAAACAAAATTGCTGGAGAGGGTCAGCAGGTCTGGCAGCATCTGTGAAGGAAAAAGCAGAGTAAACGTTTCGGGTCCGGTGACCCTTCCTCAGAACTTTCCCTTTTTCCTTTTCCCCTTTCCCTTTTTAAATCTTTCTCCTGTCACCTTAAAAATATGCCCTCTGGTTTTGAAATCCCCGAAATTAGGGAAAAGACCTTTGCTATTCACCTTATCCATGCCCCTCATGATTTTATAAACCTCCATAAGGTCACCCCTCAACCTCCTACACTCCAGTGGAAAAAGGTCCCAGCCTATCCAGCCTCTCCTTATAATTAAACCCTACATTCCCAGTAACATCTTTGTAAATCTTTTCTGCACCCTCTCCAATTTAATAATAACCTTCCTATAGCATGTCAACCAGTAAACAGTACTCCAAAAGTAGCATCCCCAACATCCTTTACAACCACAACATGACGCCCCAACTCCTTTACTCAATGTTCTGAGCAATGAAGACACTTTCTTTACCACCCTGTCTACCTGTGACGCAACTTCCAAAGAAGTATGTTGACAACTCAAACTTCAATCAAGGCCCTTACCCTTATATCCAGGTCTGATTTCTGCTCCCACCAGCTGGCCCTGACAGTGCTCCCACTGGTTTTAGGAGGAAGATAGTTGCTGGAGGATTTAAATTAATCCTGAAAATTAAAGAGGACCATACCTCAGACTGAGCCCAAGCAGAGCTTACTGGCTGCACCTGCCAAGTTGAAATTAATTCCACTATTTGAATGAGAAAAATATCCTATTAACATGCATTAATCCCACATGAAGCAATGTTAAAATTGCCAATGTCTGTTCACATCTCTCCATGTCCTCACTTTTTCTCAACTGACTTCTTCCAGCTCTAAAAATATTTCCTCTTCAATCTTGCAATTCTGGTCTCTTGTGCATTTCCAATTTCTTTTACTGTGACTGCCCTAACTTTGGCATTTAAATCTTTAGGACTGGCGGTCCCTTCCCAGACCTCATCCCTCTCCAGCCCTCTCTCCTCCTTCAAGTGGCAAAATAGAATTTCATGCTTTGAGCAATTAACATTTGTGTTTTGCCAGTTTTGTTAGGCACCCCGAGATGTTTTACTACATGACAGATACTATATAAGTACAAGTTGTAATAAAGGGAGATGCTAAACATGAAAAATGTAGACTTATTACAAAGAGAAATTGTATAAATTAGGATTATAACCTTCAAAATTTGGAAAACTGGGGTAACTTGATAGAGGTTTGCAAGATATTAAGGAGAACCGATATGGTTGATTTTAAGAAACCATTTTCACTAGTTGTGGAATCAAGGACTAAGGGATATTATTGTATTACGTCTCACCACTAGTATCAACTGGACGAACACGTAACTGGACGGTATAAAGTTCTCAGACACCATTTTGATTGGTGCCACTTAAAACATGACTTGTTGAGGCATGCTATTGTTTGGAACTGAACAGTTTAATAATAGCCCTGACACTGAAGTGCCTGTAACTGTAATGTATGTATACATCAGGAGCAATAATAAATGTCTGCTGAATCTTTTGTAACCCTGTTAGTTCATCTCGTTCAATATATCACACAATATAACATGGCTGTTAGTGATCAAGTACAATACCTTGGTGAAGGCAAAAGCTCTCGACATGGTGGCAGATCAACATAGTAAAAAAATTCAAACCAAAGCTTCTAGAATTGCTTTTAGGAAACACTCCTAGATACAAAGAGTCATTTAAATTGGAACAGAAACAGAAATTGCTGGAGAAATCAGCAGGTCTAGCAGCATCTGCAGAGAGAAAAGTGACTTAAGAGTCCAGTGACCCTTCTTCAACAACTCTTTCACAAACAACAATTAATGCAATAGATCAATTGTTAATTTTAAACCTGGGATTGATGGACTTTTATTAACCAAAAAATAGATGGATTTAATTGTGAAGACAGGTTACATAAACAATGGATATTCCCTCAAGTTTAGAATATTAAGGAGTTGGCAGAGTAGATAGAAACTATTTCCTCTGGTGACAGGAACCCAGAACAATCTGAAGGTTAGAGCTAATCTGTTCAAGAATGATATCAGGAAGCATTTCTTCACACAAAAGCATAGTGGAAGTCCAGACCTCCCCTAAAAAGTCGTTGAGGTTGGTATCAAGTGAAAAATTCAGAATTGGGATTGTCAGGTTTTTGTCAGCCAAGAGCATTAAGGGTTATGGAAACAAGGCCAGTAGCAATCTTACTCCAGTAAATGATGGAACAGTCTCTGTCCTGGCTTTGTAGCCGTGGCACTGAATATACCTTGATCACTTAAAGTTATGGCTTTTGGAAACACCCAGGTTAATGACGTTAGGCATTGCAAAGTGATAGTGCTGTTAAAGACTTTGTCTTTGGCAGAATGATACCTGCCATTAGTCCACCAAAGGCTGGAGTTAGTCAAACCCTACATGATGGCAGATTGCTGATGCAGAATTTTTTACCACAAAGGGTTGTCAAGTCTGTTCATTAAGTATATTTAAGACTGAGACAGATTTTTAATCAGTAAGGGAAAGTGCAGCCATGATCTTGTTGAATGACGGAGCCAATTCGATGGGCTGAATAGCCTACTTCTGCTCCTATGCATTATTGGTCTTATGGTTCTCAAAGCATGCCTAAAGAAGGCAAACACCTCCACGAGGGTCCTTGGATTATGACCAACTAAAATGGAGAAGTGTCATTTGGAAAGCCCTACATGGGGAACACTAAGAGGTGAAGTGGCTGCACCAGAGAGAGAGAGCATAAATCCTATGACAACTCATGAACCCGACTCTCCAAGCATGGGGTACAATCTATATATTGTATACATCAGCCATTTCAAAACCCTTGAACCACAATGGAAGCAAGTCACCCTAATCTCAATAAACTACTTAAGAAGATGAAGAAATATTTGGTAATTTATACATAATTGATAGACTGCACCACTAAAAAAAATGAATTATTCTCTAGTTGTCTATTTTTCAATTGAATTCCCAACTTTGTCATTTACAACCTAGAGCAAATTCCAATTATGGATGCAGCTTATAACCAATACAGACATGTTGAAATTAGGTATAATTTCAAGAAATTGCTGTTTTGTCAGGATTACAATAAATTTTGCCCTGATTTTCTTTTCTTCCCAGCAACATAGCATTACTTGCCATCTTATTTTGAATCTCAAATCCATCTTGTTTTGTTTATATCTGTCCGTTGCGATCTGCCTACTGTAGTTCTTTAGCTGTTTCGTTTATCTTGCCAGCAATTTGATAGGTTAGATGTGGGGATGTCCAAAAATTAGGGGGCCATCTGTATATCGTTGTGAGATTGGAAAGAGTGTTCGTGGATTGGGAGGCAGGAAATTAGAATTTGGTGTTTGTAAAATGCTAGGGGGAAAGCATTGCGTGATCCCTTTAAAAGATGATGTGCTTTTTCTATGCTTTGTGATTTAAAATGGATGTCTGTGAGCAGCAGCTTGATAGTTTGCAAGTACACAGAGAGTTACCGAATTGAAACACTTGCCTTGAAAGGCCATACAGTTAGCAGGCCAAGCAGCAGTTTTTACCAAGACAAGTTTTTGAATTTAACCAATCAATTTTAGCCAGGCACTTAGATACCAAAAACCAATTAAATTTAAATCTGACGGAATGTGGAACTTGCTACTGCAGAGAGTGGTGGATGCGAATAGTAGACACAGATTTATTACAAAGCTTGAACACACGTATGAGAGAAAAAGAGAGCGATATGCTGACAGGGTGAGATGAAGTAGGGTGGATCGAGACTTGTGGATCCATACCAGCATGGATCTGTTGGACCAATTTGCTTCATTCTTATTGAAAACCCCTTGTGGAAGCCCCTTGTGTTGATCTACTGCAGGCCCTTTATAGAAAGACTGTAATGTTTAGCTTTTTAACTTTATTTCTTAATTTTCTAACTTATGTTATGAATAGCTGTAAGATAATGTAAATTTTTTCTTTATTTCTCTATTTCATAACTAAGATTTGTACCTAGGTACATTGTACCTAAGATGGCATCGTGTGGGGTAACATTGTATATTTTTCATTGTACCCCTGTACTTGAGTACATATGACAATAAACCTAATTCTAATTCTAATATCATGCAAATGCCAGTTCTTTGAAAGAACTGCCCAATTCATGAAAGCATAGACCCTGGAAAGGGGAATGTCCAATGTTTGATATAATTGTCCTATTCCATACTTGCTTTATCAGCTCTCTAAGTTCTTAATTTATCTGCTTTCTGGGTTCTCTTATTGCCATTGCTGCTGGTGAAACAATTCCTCAATTTGGGCTCCCAGTTTGTAAGTGTCAGTGTTCGTTCACCTTGTCAGAGTGTGTGGCCAATGAAATAAAGAGAATGGACCAATTTTTAACCTTCCTTGATGCAATCTGTTGCATTTCTCCAACACATCCCGTCTGCAGCAGTCAGGATGGGTATCACAGGAGGACCATTCCCAGTGCTCTGTCACTCCCTACTGTTTGACTTTTCTGTGAGGAGAGAGCAAAAAAATGTTATCAGTATGAGATGTGGAATGTGTTGAGAGATTGGAATGATAGTATTTGTGGAGGGTGACTTTGAGGGATGAATGTGAATAGTAATGAGATGAAGGAGACTGTCAGTGGTGGCTGCTCAGCTGGGGGGATGTGAAGAAATTCCTCAAGAGAGAGGACTTGTAAGGTGTGTTGATTTGAGTAGTGAAATAGAGGACAAAGCTTGCTAAGTCAGAGTAAGAAGTGGCACTTAAATGTGACATGCATTTTACCTTTCCTACCCTAGAGAAGTAATTGAACGTTTTGCAGCACATTTATTCCATATTCCAGTTGTTTGCTTCCTCAGGCACTTTCCATCTTGGTTCAGAAGCAATCTTCTTACTCCTGTCTGCCAGGAACATGATGTCTCTATGGGCCCTTATAGCTCACAGCAGGCTCACCACAAATGCTTTTTCTCATTGAGATTCCATTTTTCCAGATACCTACAAGTTGGCATTTGTAGGATACCTCCACCTCCATTCTGTCCCTCACCAAAATCCCTTAAAATACTGAGGCCTCGACAGTCAGGCATGAGTCATGAGCACACCGACATGTTCTGGTTAATCAGGAAAGCCAGAAGTTGGGCCTCAGTTAGAAATGCATGACAATGTCCACTCTGAATTTCCAGGTTCCCAAACTGCTGCTGGACTCTGCCAGAAATAGGTCCAAAAGTTAAAATACAGTGGCCTAATAATTCACCGAGTTATTAATTGCTGGTTAGGCTTTGCTTGGTGTATTGGGTTCTAACGTGAGTGTCACAGACGGAAGAAACTGGGATTGTTCTTTTCAAAGCAGGAAAGAATGTCATTGTTGTAATGTATCCCCAAGTACATGGATACTGGAGTACAGTGAAAAGTTTATAATGTCACCATTCACTGTGCCATCTTAGGTACAAGGTACCTAGATACAAAATCTTTGGTAAAAAGTAGAAAAATAATGAAACAAGTTAAATGTTCAACGTTACAGCTCTTCTCAGTATAAAGTAGTAAATAAGAAATAAAGTTATAAATTCCATATTACAGTCCTTCTTTAGTCAAGGACCTACATGCTGGGCTTTCCCCACAAGTATTCGATCTTTGTCTTGCACTGAGCTCAATTTCTCTCCCGCACTGGGCTTGATCTCTTCCCCACACTGGGCTTGATCTCTCTCCCGTGATGGGTTTGGTCTTTCCCCTGCACTGGGCCCAGTCTCTGTCTGTCACATTGGGCTCGATCTTTCTCCCACACTGGGCTCGATCTCCGCACCTCCACGCTGATGTCTCTCCACCGGCTGTAATCCAAGCTCACCAGCTGCCTTGCCACAGGCTGTGGATGTCTCTCTGTGGTGCTGCTCTGGACCCCCAGCCATTTCCACAATGCCACTGATCGCCAGAGTTCTGTCTGGGCACACCAGTTGCCACGTGGCCAACCGGCAAAGTCCCCCCACTGGACCCCTAGCTACTGCCATCTCTGCCACTGCCTCCACAACCAAGCCCCCTCCAGAAAGTATGTAGAGAAAGAAAACATTTAAAAACTAAAGAAAAGAAGAAAAAAACAAGGAAAGAAGAAAGAAAAGCGTCAGAGTGGATGCGCTCCGACTCAGGAGCCCTACCCTGCTGCCATCTTGCAAGAAGCCACATGTAATAGTGATGTTAAGGATTATATAGGTTTTTGTTAGAATAAATAATGTATGTTAGTAATCAGAAGGCACTAAAAGTGATTGTCAAAGTGAGTCTTCCTACAGCACATGAACTGCAGCGGTTGAAGAAGGCAGCTAGAGATGAGCAATAAATGCTGGACCAGCCAGTGATGCATTCATTTCATGAATGAATAAAAAATATCAATTAATTATAATGCCCTGGAATGCACTGCCTCTAAAGCTGATTAGTGCAGATGCAATCATAACTTTCAAAAGGGAGCCGTCAGGAAAGAAGAGAGTTGGGAAAATTGGGTGGCTCAGGCATGATGGACCAAATGGCCTCCTCCCTGTGTTGTATGATTCTATCATAAAGGTGGGAGATGATGGCCTGTAAATGCAAAGACTCAGGTAGCGTTCTGGGGACTTGGGTTCATATCCTGCCATGGCAGATGTTGGAATTTGAATTCAATGAAAATCTAGAAATAAGAGTCTAATGATGACTATGAAACAATTACTAGGCTATCTGGCTCACTAATATCCTTAAGGGAAAGAAGTTGCTGTCCTTATCTGGTCTGGCCTACGTATGACTCCAACGTGGTTTACTCTTAACTGGCCTTAGGAATGGGCGATAAATGCTGACCGAGCCAGCAACACTCTCATCCTGTGAATGAATAAATAAAAGAGTTGTCAAGTAAGTTGGAAAAGTTTTCTTTTGGTAACATGTTAGAAAAAAGCTCTGATAGATCAACAATAGAAGTTTTGCTGCAGGGCATCCCACTGAGATTGGAAAGTACAAGGATAATTGAAAACAGCATTATTCATCAATTTCAGATAGGGTTAATTGAATAACATTTATCTATACAAGTTACTCGAACATGAATGATTCCAGCTTTCAAGGATGGCTATAATGGAAAGCAATAAACACAACAAACCTGATTAGATTGAGAACATTGAGCCACCAAGCAAAATTCCAGAGCACATGCTCTGCTCCTGCATTTTATGAAAATACTCACTTTATTTAGATTTGTGAAACTGCTGCTATATTTATGTTTACAGAAGCAGCACTTTTCTCAGTCAGATAGCAATGCCTTTCATTATGCATTTATCATAGAATGAGACAGAACAGAAGGAGACTATTGGGCCCTATATCCCTGTGCCAGCCCTTTGAAAAGTTTTACCCTGCTTATATTTTCCCCATAGACTTACAAATCTTCTCCTCCTTACGTTGTTATCTAACACCTTTTGAAAGTTACCATGTATCTGCTTCCACAGTCCTTTCAGGCAGCGCATTCCAGGTCACAACAACTTGCTACACAAAAAAACTCACACTTTGCATTTTTTGCCAGTTATCTCAAACCTATGTCCTCTATTTATTCACCCTCCTGCCCCTGGAAGTAGATCCTTCTCATTACTTTATCAAACCCCTCACAGTTATGAACACTATTATTATATTTCCTTTTAACCTTCCTTATGGACAACACCAACTTCTCCAGTCTCTCCATCCTGAGGTCCTTCATCCCCTGTTATTATTCTATTAAATTCAGAAAATGCTGGAGAAACTCAGCATTCTGGCTATTCTGAAGAAGAGTTAGACTCGAAACATTAACTCTGTTTTCTCTCTTCACACATGCTGCCAGACCTGCTGAGTTTCTCCAGCATTCTGTCTGTTGGCTTCAGATTTCCAGCATCTGCAGCACTTTGCTGCTCTCATTCTAATAAATCACCTCTTCACTTTCTTTCTCTAGAACTGTGCACAGTAGATGAACTGAGGCCTAGCCAAGCGTATAGAAAATCCATTTCAATACTCAGATTGACTATTTAGCCAAAATTATTGGCAAGAGAAATTCACTCTCTTCATTTTATTCATGCACCAAAATATCTATTTTATGGCAAGAGATTTGATTCAATTTGTCCCCCTCCCTCCTTTTTACTCCATAGCCCTGCAATATTCTCTCTTTACAGCATAGATCCAATTCCCTTTAAGAATCACTATTGAATCTATGCCCACCAATGTTTTAGTGCATTCCAGAATGTAATAACTTACTATGTGCAAACAAAATTTCTATTGGTGTTTCTCACTAATTGTCCTCATTCTGGGTCCACTGATTTCTGACCTTGTAACAGTGGAAATAGTTTCCCCTATGCACTCTGTCAAGAGTCCTGATGATATAGGATACAAATTTATTTGTGGATAAATGTGATTGTTCAGAATATTGTCCTTATAAATGTCACTGTCTTTATTTTGAAATTTTGAACAGCTCATGTGTTGCATCCAAGTATGAAGTACCCGTGTCTTCAGTGAAGGTGAAAGATGGACATCTTTCAGCTGCAGACCTTCCTTCACAACCTGATGTACCGAAAGATCCACAGCTCTTAACTCAGCGCCCTCCAACCATGGTGGAACCAGGAGACATTATTTTACTGAAAGCACCAAAGGTAATCAACAATTTTGATTGAGTTTTAGAGTCAAATAATATGCACAAAATAGAATGGAAGGAACTTAGGGTAGTATTGCTCCAGCCCCAGGGAGCAGGAGTGGAGACACAAGCTGAGAAAATAGCTGGGACCTTTGCTGCAATGCCTCCCAGACACATGGATCAATTTAGTCATGCGTTTTGAATATGGACATCACATCATTCTGTTTCCAACCTTCTCGTATCTTACTAATTTCCACTGACTGTGAAAGATTCCTATGTCTTCCCAATCTCTTCTATAGGCTGTCACCACTTGAGTAAAATTCATTTCAGCAAAATGCTGCAGATACTGGAAATCTGATTTAAAAACAGAAAGTGCTGGAGGACCTCAACAGGTCCGGCAGCATCTTTGGAGATAAAAACAGAGTTAACATATCAATTCCAATATGATTCTCCACTTCTGAAGAAGATCTTAATTCTGTTTCTCTCTCCACAGATGCTGCCAGACCCACTGAGTTTCTCCAGCAACGACTGTTTGTTTCTGAGGATTTATTTGAGTTCATTTACCCTGTCCCAGAGCTTTTACTGCTAACACATCAAATGACTTTGAAGAGTATGCATGTTTTTTATTTAGTCATGGATGTGGGCATTGTTGGCTGGACCAGAATTTATTACCTGTCCCTATTTGCCCTTGAGCAGGTGATGGTGAGATGCCTTTTTAAGCTGTTGCAGTCCATTTGATGTAGATACACCCAGAATTACATTATGTTTTGCTCAACCCTTCATTTGCCATTCAGAATATTTGCAAACTGGTGTTCACCCTTGGTTCACGGGTAACATAAAACCATACAATCTTATAGCACAGGGGGACTCTGTTCAGGTAATTTTGCTAGCTGTTTGGGAGAGTTCTTCAATTAGTTCTTCACTGGGGAGAAGTGACAGATGGAGTTTAATCCGGGTAAGTGTGAAGTGCTGGACTTTGGGTGATCAAATGTTAGTATTCAGTTAGTGGCACAACCCTAAACAGCATTGATGTACAGAGGGATCTTGAGGTTCAAGTCCATAGCTCCCTGAAAGTGGCCACACAAGTAGATCGGGTAGTAAAGAAATCATATGGCATGCTTGCCTTTATTGGTTTGGGAATTGAGTACAAGAGTCAGGATGTCATGTTCCAGGTTTATAAGACTTTGGTTAGACCACACTTAGAGTATTGTGTTCAATTCTGATCACCACATTACAGAAAGGATGTGGAAGCTTTGGAGAGGATCAGAAGAGGTTTACCAGGATGTTGCTTGGATTAGAGGGCCAAAAGGAGAGGCTAGAAAAACTCTGGAGCGGCTGAGGGAATACTCGATAAAAGTCTATAAAATTATGAGATGCATAGATAGGGTTGATGGTCAAAATCTTTTTCCCAGATTTGAAATGTCTAAAACTAGGGGACATGCAATTAAAGTGAGATGGGGAAAGTTCAAAGGAGAAGTGAGGGGCAAGTTTTTTACACAGAGAGTGGGAGGAGTGTAGAATGTGCTGCCAGGGGTGGTGGTAGAGGCAGATACAAAAGGGGCATTTAAGGGACTTTTAGATAAGCACATGAATATGCAAGGAATGGGGTGGTATGGACCATGGGCAAGCAGGAGAGAATAGGTTAATTTGACATCATGTTCAGCACAACATTATGGGCCAAAGAGCCCATTCCTGTCTCGTACTGTTCTATGTTCTTAGTCCCTCTCCCTCAACTATTTCCCATAGCATAAGCATACTTCCATGTTTATATCAAATTTCATTTTGAAAGTTATTGAATCTGCTTCCACCATTCTTTCCAGATCACAACACCTCCTTCCTCCCCAGAGCCTGTCCACCATCTACAAGCCACAAGTCAGGAGTGCAGTGGAGTACTCCCCAATTCCTGGATGGGTGCAGCTCCAACAACACTCAAGAAGTTTGACACCATCCAGGACAAAGCAGTGCATTTGATTGGCACCACATCCACAAACGTTTACTCCCTCTACCACTGACACTCAGTAGCAGCAGTGTGTACCATCCACAAGACGTACTTGAATGACTCACTAAGGCTCCACTAACAGCACCTTTCAAACTAGTGACCTCTACCACTTAAAAGGACAAAGGCAGCAGATTCATGAGAACACCGCCACTCAAGTTCCCCTCTAAGCCACACACTACCCTGACTTGAAAATATATCACTGTTCCCTCCACCTAAAAGACTGCAACAGTTCAAGAGGCAGCTCACCACCACCTTCACCAGGAGACAAGTAGGGATAAGCAATAAATGCTGGCCTGGACAGCAAAGCTTACATCTGCCCTGTTTCTTCAGTTAATTCTCTTAAACCTATGCCCTGCGGTTTATTCATTCATGAGATTTTTTTTTTCTTTTATCAACATGAGGCTTATTTGTTTTATAGAATCAGATTACCTTCAAAACAAAAGTGCCAAATGAAGGCAAACACGTGGTGCTGGTGCATTTTTATCAGCCTTTGTATCCGAAATTCCCAGTAGGGGTGATGGTGGATGGAGGTCGTCCCTATAATGGTAAGTTATTAAGAGGACTTTGGTGTTTCTGAACATTCACCAACCAGTACACTTTGCATGACATTGCATGAATCACAGATTCACCTGTACGATACTGGCATAAAGTGGGTCAGTTCTGAAGAGAGGTTGCATAGATTAGGTTTGTGTTGCCTCCTGTTTATGAGCTGGATGGAGGAAGCTCCTTCTTGGTATAATAGCTGAGTCCCATCAGTCATGCTGGCAGTTGGAATCTAATTCCTCAATGGAGATCAGAGTCTGTGTGATTTGCTGTGTTTTAGGGTTTGTGTGGTACAGTGGTAGTCTCTCACATGTGGGATAGAAGGCCTGGGTTCAAGTCCACCTGCTCCAAGGTAGATTATATTACATGTTAGCAGGTTCATTAAAAATATCTACATGACATTTCTGGGCAGCACAGTGGCTCAGTGGTTAGAATCTGGTGAATTCATAATGGAGAACAAAGGCATGGCAGACCAGTTGAACAAATACTTTGGATTTGTCCTCACTAAGGAGGACACAAATAACATTCAGGAAATGGTAGGGGACAGAGGGGCAAGCATGAAGGAGGAACTGAAGGAATCCTTATTAGTCAGGAAATAATATTGGGAAAATTGATGGGATTAAACCCCAATAAGTTCCCAAGCCTGAAGCTCTGCATCCCAGAGTACTTAAGGAAGTGGCCCTAGAAATAGCGGGTGCATTGATGATCATTTTCCAGGGTACTGGAGGGTAGCTAATGTAACTCGACTCTTTAAAAAAGGAGGAAGAGAGAAAGTGGGGAATTATAGGTCGGTTAGCCTGATATCGGTGGTGGGGAAAATGCTGGATTCAATTATTAAGGATGTAATAACTCTGCATTTGGAAAGCGGTGACAGAATGGGTGCTAGTCAGCATGGATTCACTAAAGGGAAATGATGCTTGACAAATCTTGTAGATAAGGTTTTGGAGTAGATTTGTAGCTCGGGTTGTGGGTGTTGAGGTTGGCTCGCAGACCTGGTTTCTTGTTTCGCAGATGTTTCATTACCATGCTGGGTAACATCCCCAGTGCAGCCTCTGATGAAACGTCAGTGTGTTTTCCCGCCTGGTTTTTAAACTCTGGGGGCCATTGAGGTGGATTGCCTCACTTCCGGTTTTCCTTCGTAGTGGAATGTATTTGGGGTCCAGTTCAATGTGTTTATTAATAGCATGCTTCGTGGAGTGCCAGGCTTCTAGGAATTCTCGGGCCTGTCTCTGCCTAGCTTGTCCCAGGATCTTGGTGTTGTCCCAGTCGAAGTGGTGGTTCTCCTTGTCCATGTGGATTGAGATGAGTGAGTATTGGTCGTGCCTTTTTGTAGCCAGTTGGTGTTCATGTACTCTTGCTGTTAGTTTCCTTACTGTTTGTCCGATGTAGTGTTTCTCGCAGTCTCTGCAGGGGATCTTGTAGATGACGTTGGTCCTGTCCATGGCGGGGAGTGGGTCCTTGGTTCGGGTGAGCACTTGTCGTAGGGTTGACTTGGGTTTGTGTGCCACTCTGATGCCCAGCGGTCGTAGGAGTCTTGTGGTGAGTTCTGATGTGTTTCTGATATAGGGTAGTGTGATGAGTGTGTCGGGGCGCGGAGTCTCTTTCTGATGCTGTTCGTGTAGGCATCTTCTGACCCAATTCTTTGGATATCCATTATCCTTGAAAACCTGAAAGAGGTATTCTTCTTCCTCTTGGCGTAATTCCGTGTTGCTGCAGTGTGTTGTCCAGGAATTGGTGCTGTTTGTTCTTCTCCTCCTCTGGTGAATTTTATTCCAGTGCGAGTGTTGTTTATAAGTTTGTGTGTCTCCTCTAATTTAGTCCGTTTAATAAAGGCAGAGGCAGGCACGAGAATTCCTAGAACCTGGCAGTCCACGAAGCATGCTATTAATAAACACATAGAACTCGACCCCATACACACTCCACTATGAAGGAAACCCGGAATGAAGCAATCCATCTCAACGGACCCCAGAGTTTAAAAACCAGGCGGGAAAACACACCGACGCTTCATCGGAGGCTGCACTGAGGATATTACCAAGCATGGTAACGAAACGTCTGTGAAACAAGAAACCAGTTCTGCGAGCCAACCAACGTGAACAACCTCAAAATCTTGTAGAATTTTTTGAGGACGTGATCTGTAGAATGGACAAGGGTGAATCAGTTGATGTTGTGTACCTGGACTTTCAAAAGGCTTTTGACAAGGTTCAAAACAAGAGATTAGTAAGGAAAATTAAAGCTCATGGTATTGGAGGTAATGTATTGACATGGATACAGAACTGGTTGGCAGACAGGAAGCAGAGATTTGGAATAAACAGGTCCTTTTCAGGGTGTCACGCAGCGATGAGTGGGGTACCGCAGGGTTCAGTGCATGGAACCCCAGCTGTTCACAACATACATTAACAATTGGGGTGAGGGAATTCAATGCAATATCTCCATGTGTGCAGACAACACTAAGCTGGGGAACAGTGTTTGCTATGAGGAGGATGCTAGAGGCTGCAGGGTGACTTGGACAGACTGGCTGAGTGGGGAAATACTTGTCAAATACAATATAATGTGGATAAATGTGAGGTTATCCACTTTGGTCACAAAAACAGGAAGGCAGATTATTATCTGAATGGTGGCAGTTTAGGAAAAGGTGAGGTGCAATGAGACCTGGGTGTGATGGTGGAACAGCCACTGTATGTTGTCATACAGGTCCAGCAGGCAGTGAGGAAAACTAATGGCATGCTGGCCTTCGTAGTGAGAAGATTTGAGTATCGGAGTAAGGATGTCCTGCTGCAGTTATACAGGGCCTTGGTGAGGCCACACCTTGAGTATTGTGTACAGTTTTGGTCTCCTAGTCTGAGGAAGGACATTCTTGCTATTGAGGGAGTCCAGCAGAGGTTCACCAGATGGATTCCTGGGATGGCAGGACTGACATATGGATCAACTGGGCTTGTACTTGCTGGAATTTAGAAGAATAAGGGGGAGATCTCATAGAAACATATACAATCCTAATGGGACTGGACAGGTTAGATGCAGGAAGAATGTTTCCGATGTTGGGAAAGTCCAGAACTAGGGGTCACAGTCTAAGAATAAGGGGTAAGCCTTTCAGGACTGAGATGTGGAAGAATTTCTTCAGAGAGTTGTGACCCTGTGGAATTCTCTCCCAAAGGAAGATGTTGGGGCCAGTTCATTAGATAAATTCAAGAGGGAGCTGGACATAGCCCTTGCAGCTAAAGGGATCAATGGGTATGGAGAGAGGGCGGGAATAATGGGATACTGAGATTGCATAATCAGCCATGATCATATTGAATGGTGATGCAGGTTCAAAGTACCAAATGGCCAACTTCTGCATCTATTTTCTATGTTTCTACGACCCACCCCATCCCTGTAACTCTGAATGTACAATGGCTAACCCACCTAATCTACATGTCCCTGGACACTTTGGGACAATTTAACACAACCAATCCACCTACACATCATTAGACTGTGGGAGGAAACCGACACAGTCACAGGGAGAATGTGCAGACTCCACACAGACAGTCACCTGAGGCTGGAATCAAACTTTGGTCCCTGGGGCTATGAGACAGCAGTGCTAACCACTGAGCCACTGTGCTGTCTATGTTTTCACTGATATTGCATGGAGCCTGAGTACTGTACATTGTGCTTACTGGTGAGTGGCTATGGAGGACATGCTGGTGGCATGGGTGATCTGAGAAGGCATGATGGTGCATGAAGGCATGAATGGGGTAGTGAGGGTGATATGAGAGGAAACTGAGAGTATGTGGGGGGCATAAAATGACATGGACAGTCTGGAATGGGTAGGGAATGATGGAAGTGTGAGGTTAGAGATTAAACCTTTTCTGAAGGCTGGAATACTGAGCTGGTCAACTGAGGTGGACCATCAAACTGGTCCTCCTCCACATGACCGTGGCTTCCAAACCAAAAGTAAAAAAAGTAGAAATCGTGTATAATGTCACACATTTGTGCTGTTTGTGGACTGTGAAAATATGCAGGTCAAGTTTTCCACAGCCCAGAGGAACATTTGGACCTGGGAGCCAGGTGAAAATTTCAAACTGAGATCAATAAATTTGTCTTGGATAAGGGTGTTGAGTGTTATTGAACCAAGCAAGATGAAGGAATGTGATAGCCTACTGGTACTATTGCTGGTCTGTTGATCAGGAGACCCAGGTAATGTTCTGGGGACCTGGTTCAAACCTTGCCACAGCAGATGGTGGTATTTGAGTTCAATAAAAATCTGGAATTAAGAGTCTAATGATGACTATGCAAACTATTGGCAATTGTCAGAAATCCCGTCTGGTTCATTAATGCCCTTCGGAGAAGAAAATCATCATCCTTACCTGGTCTAGCCTACACGTGACCCACAGCAGGACCTAACCATCCAGGCAATTAAACGCCTATATCCTTGAATAAGTTTTTGCAACAAATAAAATTAAAGTAAGGATTTGCTCTGATCTAATTGTATGATTTAACAGACTTTTGAGGCTGAATGTCCTTTACGCAATACTTAATTTTGGTTACAGACTAAAATTATATATTTTTTTAGGATTTTTTAGTGCTTTCTTCTGTCCACATGGGTTTGGATGTCGCAACCAGGTCATTTCAGGGAATACAATAGAATTGGATATAATCAATCCAGAGTTGTCTGTCATTCTTACTGTTCCGAAAGGAAAAGCCCTTTGGTTGGTAAGCTTTGAAGAAATACTCTCAGAATTATTGTTGTTGTGTTTCTGATTTTCCAGAAAACTTGCATTTTTAGAATGCATTTTAAAATGTTGCAATGCATTTCATGTCACAACTTCCTGATATTGGGCCAGGTAATGGACAAGCAACCAATGGCTGGCCAAAGAAATATGTTTTAAAGTACATTACACAAGAGGAAAGAAAGGAAGAAATTTATGAAATTTCAGAACTTCAAAAATACTTCATTGTTATTAAAGTGATTTGGGATTTCCTGAGGTTGTGAAAGGCACAAATAAATACAAGTCACTTTTTCCTTTTTTATATACTACAAAAGGAAATGAGGTGACCACTTTAATTCCACCTTAAAGCAGTGAAACAATTTAGACAGTTGCGATGTCAAGGCGTACAAGACTATGGGCCAACAACTGGAAAATGAGCTTAGAATAATTAAGAGGTTCTTTTTGTCTGTGGTGCAGACATGATGGGCTGAAGAGCCTCTTTTGTGCTGTATGACTCTATGACTCTATGGCTTAAAACATGGGGGCTTTGCTCAAAGATCATTGTTTATGCAAAGCATGATTAAGGAAAGTGTGATACAAGTGAATCGTAATATTTAAGACTCACCCTATAAAAACACAAGTATAAACCCATCAAAGGGTAAAGCAGAAAAATGGAATTAAAGCAGAGAATCTGAATACTCATTTTGCAGTATTGGGGATGGAAACACGGGGTCCAATCCCTGATCCTGAAGCATGATTCCAAAGTGCCTTTAAGGATAGGGTGGGACTAAGTGGTCTTCATTGTTGTATTGTAGGATAGGAGCGATCATTCCTGCTTCTCCCAGCTCTGTGTTCAGCAATCTAGAAAAGGGGCTTTCTGGTTCACACCACATTGTGCTGTGTGAGACTGCAGACCACAGAGGTTAAAATCGCAGACAATCATTAATGAGAACAGTGTCCTCTAAGTTGCACACGTTATTTTGCATGTGTTCCATTATGCATTTCTGCTCCCTTCATATCGATCTTATCCAATTTGTTGGGCTGTGCACTGCTGTCTCGTGTTGTGTACATGCTTCCTGCCCATCATTGTGAGTCTAGCATATCGGTTACCACTGGCACAGCAGAAAGAACTAGTTGGCCTGCTTCTGAACTGAAATTTCTATATGTAAAAATCTCTTTGCAAATTTCTTTCCAAAGTCAGAACTGTCTGAAAATACTTCTTTTTTTTAGGACTACATCCTAATTGTTCCTTCAGAAAGTTATGATCCTGACTTACGAAATGAAAAGCCTTTGGACAAGTCATTTGATTTCATTACTGCCTGTGGTGGAAATAGCTTTTACATCAAGTGAGTACAATTTAGTTTATTTTATTCCTTTGTGCGATGTGGGCATCCTTTGTATTTTACATTCCCTTAAATTGGAATAGAAAATAATTGGTTGGAATCACTGATGATGTTTTGGTGAAACTCTGGAGAAATAATTAACATGAGTACTGAATAGTATTTCCAGTACTCTGGTTTGGCCTCAACTGGAGTATTGTGTCCAGTTCCAGGTACCACACTATGAAAAGGATGTCAAGGTCTCAGAGAGAGTGCAGTGGGATTTACCAAAAATCAGTTACATAGAGAGACTACAGAAGCATTGTTCTACTCAGAGCAGAGAAGATTTAGAGGGGATTTGAATTGCACCTTTGATTTGATTTGATTTGATTTATTGTCACGTGTACCTAAGTACAGTGAAAAGCTTTGTTTGTGAGCAGTATAGGCAGATTATAGTAAGCAAGGACATACACATCACAGGGTGAAAAATCTTGGACAGAGTAAGGCATACAGGTTACACTGCACGATACATACGTAAGGCAAGATCAACGTTAACAAGATCAACATCATTTGAAGTTAAAAAGTCCATTCATCAGTCTAATAATGGCAGGGAAGAAGCTGTTCCTGAACCTGCTGGAGTATGTGTTCAAGCTTATGTATCTTCTCCCTGATGGAAGAGGTTGTAGGAGAGTATTTCCAGGGTGGGAGAAGTCTTTGTTGATGTTGGCAGCCTTTCCGCAGCAACAAGAAGAGTAAACAGAGTCCATTTCTGAAGAAGGGTCTAGGCCTGAAACGTCAGCCTTCCCTGCTCCTCTGATGCTGCTTGACCTGCTGTGTTCATCCAGCTCTACACCTTGGTATCTCAGATTCTCCAGCATCTGCAGTTCCTACTATCTCTGGTACCATGGATGGAAGGTTGGCTTCCGTGATGGCCTGGGCTATGCACACCCTCTTCTGTAGTTTCTTATGGTCCTGGGCAGAGCAGTTGCCGTACCAGGTCGTTATGCACCCGGACAGTATGCTTTCTATGGTGCATCTATAGAAGTTCGTGAAGATCCTTATAGACACGCCAAATTTCCTGAGCCGCCTGAGGAAGAAGAGGCGTTGCCTTCTTGACTGTTGCATCTAAGTGGGAAGTCCGGGACAGGTTATCTGTTATTGTCACTCCTAGGAACTGATTGCTTTCCACCCTCTCAACCTCTGTTGATGTAGATGGAGGCGTGTTCTCCTCCTTTCTTTCTGAAGTCAATGATCAGTTCTTTAGTTTTGATGACATTGAGAGAGAGATTGTTCTCATTGCACCACGTCACCAAGCCCTCAATTTTCCTTTCGGTAATTTGACTCATCATTGTTAGATATCCGTCCTGCTACAGTGGTGTCGTCAGCGAACTTTTAGATCGTGTTTGTTCGGAATTTGGCAACACAGTCGTGGGTGTACAGGGAGTACAGTAGGGGGCTGAGGACGCATCCCTGGGGGGGCTCCAGTGTTGAGTGTTACTGTGAAGGAGGTACAGTTACCTATCCTCACTGATTGTGGTCTATGGGTCAGGAAGCTGGGGATCCAGTTATAGAGGGCAGAGCTGAGACCAAGGTCACGCAGTTTTGAGATCAGTCTGGAAGGGATAATGGTGTTGAAGGTGGAGCTGTAGTCAATGAGCAGGAGTCTGACATAGGTATCTTTGTTGTCCAGATGTTCCAAGGATAAGTGCAGGGCTAGGGAAATGGCATCCTCTGTGGACCTGTTACATCGGTAAGCAAATTGTAGGGGATCGAGGCAGGCTGGGAGACTGGAGTTCATGAAAATCATGAAGGCTTTTGATCAAGTAAAAGAGAAGAAATTGTTTCCAGCGGCAGGACGGTCAGTCAACAGAGGGCCACAAATTTAAGTTAATTGGCAAAAGTATCCAAAGAGAGTTGAGAATACATTGCTTTCAAAGCACCAGAAGGGTGATGGAGATTAATTAGTAAATTTCAGAAAGAGAATTGGATAAATTACATCGCGATCTAAAAGAGAAGAAGAATGGAACTCAATTGGATAGCTCTTTCAAAAGCCTGTACAAATAGATATATTGGCCAAAACACTTACTTTTCTATGCATTGCTCTGCGATTTACAGACCAACCAATTTAAACTGTTCAGCTAGGCTGACACTTTTGTAGTCCAGCGTAAAGACTGGAATATGGACCAGGTCCTAAATGTATTGGCTTGGTAATACAGTAACACCATTCTGCAGAGGCATGTGCAATCTTGCTGGAATTGGGGTGTGAATTCTGAAAGGAATGTTTTGTAAAGCACAAGATTGTTAGAAGCAGATCCTCCAGAATGAGCTTTAGGGAACATGCCATAAAATATTTAGACACAAAAAGCTAAATGCTATAGATGTTGGATATCTGAAATGAAAACAGAACATGTCTGAGCCACACAGCAGGGTTTTGAAAACCTACAGGGCTCGGAACTCGAAAAAATGGGACCAATTCAATAGCTCTTTCAAACAACCAAGACAAGCCTAATGAGCCAAATAATTTCCATCTGTACTGAATGTTTAAAGGACAGAGTACTTGTGACACTTGCAGTCATTTTCAACTTATAACAGGGACTGAAGATCAACCGAGCAGATAATACATTGTATTATAGTAATAGGAGGTCTCAGGTTGAGATGTTTCTTCAAAGTGAAGCAGGCAGTCACCTGGTGAAGCACTTGCACCTCTCTTTACATCATCAGCTCATAACTGAATGGAAAATAATATCTGGAAAATCCAGAGTTCTGCAGAAGGGTCACTGGATTCAAAACATTAACTCTGTTTCTCTCTACAGTTGCTGCTGAGTTTCTCTACCACTCTCTGTTTTTGTTTCAAATTTCCAGTGTCCACAGTTCTTTGTTTTATTCTGGAAAATCCAGGATATTTTTGCCTTCTCAGTCATAGATTGTGTTGGGATTGTCATAATTACCAAATCAGAGGAGGGGAAACCAAAATTCAAAACAAATACTTAAATATCACAATTCCTATCAGTTTGCTGGTTTGGTGAAATCAAGAAAGAAAGACTTGCATTTCACAACTCAGGAAGTGATTTACTATAACTTTGTAGTCACTGTTGGGGTATAGAAAATGGAGCAGCATAATTAACTCAGAGTAAGATCCCGTAAATAGTTATATGATCTTTAGTGTTGTTGATTGAAGGGTAAACAGTGCCCCTAGGACACAGGGAAGAACTAACGCAATAAAGGCAGTGTACAGCAGACGCTGAAAATCCAAAATGAACACAGAGAATGCTGGAGAAACTCAGCAAATCTGGCAGCATCTGTGGAAAGAGAAACGGAGTTAGTATTTCAAGTGTGGTATGATTTGAGGTTTGAAGAAAAGTCATAATGGAGTTGAAATGTTAACTTTGTTTCTCTCTCCACACATGCTGCCAGATCTGCAAACAAACACACCCCTGTCCTTTTTTGAAATTATATCTTGGACTGGTTTTGTCTGAATGTATTTATTGAAATAAATGTGTTTTATAGGGTAGATGTAGTGAAAATATTTACACTTATGGGGAAGTCCAAAATGAAAGGACATGAATATGATAACACAAGAAAAGTCCAAGAGGAATTCAGGAAAACTTCTTTCCCCAAAGTGTGCTGAGCATTTCTTTTGTGCTTTCACAGGATGTGGGAGTCACTGGTTAGTTCTGAATATTTTGCACAGCCATACGGGGTGGCACACTGTCTCAGTGGTTAGTACCGCTGTTTCACAGCACCAGGGAACTCGGGTTTGATTCCAGCCTCAGGTGACTGTCTCTGTGGAATTTGCACATTCTCCCTGCTCTGGTTTCTTCCCACAGTCCAAAGATGTGCAGATCACGTGGATTAGCCATGCTAAATTGCCCATAGTGTTCAGGGATGCCATGGGAAATGCAGAATTACACAGTATGGGGCTGGGTCTAGGTGGGCTGCTCTTTGGAGGGTTGGTGTGGACACAGCGGGTCAAACAGCCTGCATCTACGCTATAAGGGTTCTATTGTTGACCTTAAGAAGGTGGTGGTGTCATCTTAGAGTCATAGAGGCCTACAGCATGGAAAGAGGTCCTTTGATCCATTGAGTCCACACCAGTCAAAACAACTACCTAACCCCATTTTTGAGCACTTGGCCCATAGCCTTGTATGCCTTGACATCGTTCAAACAACCAAGACAAGCATAATGAACCAAATAATTTCCTTCTGTACTGAATGGTTAAATGACACAGCACTTGTAGTCATTTTCAACTTATAACAGGGACTGAACATCAATAGAGCAGTTGAATGGCATGCTGATTAATGCCCACCCTGAAGAAGTTTTGCTCTTCCCTTCAACAGAAATTCCACTAAATGCTGCCCCCTTCACACTTCACATCTAGACTCTAAACGTTAGCTTGTTTTCTCTCCATGGATGCTGCCTGACCCGCTGTGATTTCCACCATTTTTTGTTTTCAGTACAGATTCCAGCATCTGCAGTAATTTGCTCCTACATTGTGTTTAATTGACTGTTACGTCTCTTCGAGGAACGCTCTCCCTAAAGAAATTTTGCTTTTCACTCTGACAGGAATTCCACCTAAATTCTGCCCCTCCGCACATCTCATCTTCCTGTCTTTGGCATGCTGCAATGCTCTAGTGAATAGCAATGCAAAATGGAGGAACAACATCTCATCTTCAGACTAGGCACTTTACAACTATCTAGACTTAATATTGAGTTCAACACCTTCAGATTGTGAACCCACTCCCATTCCTTTTAGCTTTACTTGTTACATTCTCTGTCACCATATCCCCTCTCCACTCCCCCACTCCAGCAAAACTGTCTGTTCTTTCCAGTTTGGCAGTTAGACACACCATAGTCCTGTCATCCTCACATTCTGATCACTTAATCTGCATTATCAGTACCCTTTCTCCCTCAGCACTCTACTACCTCACTATTGCATAAATGCTGCCCCCTCCATATTTCACGTCAACTCTGATGAAGAATCATCTGGACTAGAAACGTTAACTTGCTGTCTCTCCATGGATGTTGCCTGACCAACTGTGATTCCCAGTTTGCCCAATCTCGCTTCATAATTAAAACTGTCGAGCCCAGATAATATCCTGGTAAATCTCCTCTGCACCCTTTCCACTGCAATCACACCCCTCCTATAATGTGGATTCCAGAACTGCACACAAAATTTTTGAGCCACTACAGTCTATACGGTGTAGGTGCACGCTAGGAAGGGAGAAACATATGGAGGGAGTTCTAGGATTTTGATTCAGTGGCAGTGAAGAAACGGCGATATATTTCCAAGTCAGGATGTTGCGTGGCTGAGGTGGTGGTGTTCCTATGTATCTGCTGCCCTTGTCCTTTTAAGTGGAAGAATGCAGAACTATACAAAGGGAATGGGATATGTAATTTGCTACGCACAAGTAGTGACTGCAGAGATCAGCATAGATGCATTTAACAGGCAGCTGGATACATACATCAGAGAGAAAGGAATAGAAGATTATGCCAACAGGGTGAGCTGAGGAAAGTGGGAGGTGCCTTTTATGAAGCAGGAATCTGTGCTGTAAGTTTTATGTAATTCTGTTTTGCAGCCCAGCTACATCATCCAGATTCTGCCTGGACTCAGCTAAGTCACTGGTAGCATTCTACAATAATGGAGCTCTCCCTTGCCAGTGTAATGGAGAAGGTGCAACTAGTCCCACATGTAATCCATTTGGGGGCCAATGTTCCTGCCGGCCAAATGTTATTGGGCGTCAATGTAACAGATGTGCCACTGGCTATTTTATGTTCCCCAACTGTCGACGTAAGTGGGTGCTTTTACACTTACAAAATAAGCGTACAAGAATTAAGTACTTTGATACATTTTGATGACATAACAAGCCACTATAAGTGCTATTTAGTTATAAATTCAAGTTCTTGGGGCCTGAAAAAATGCATGTTTTTTCTTTCTGTTATGAATTGGAGGTCAAGCCCCGTCTGATAACTAAAACCGAAACACCCAGAGAAGCTCGCCTCACCTCATAATCTGTTAAAGGAAGTGTGAAAAGTGATATAACCTGCCTCTCACCTCCCAATCTGTTATAAAGGGGTGGTTAACTGAAATGAAATCCTTCTACTCACTCTATAATCAACAAGTAACAATTTATTTATCTAACTCTATCAGTGTACAAATTAACAGAACTACTAACAAATGAACAATTCCCCCTTAACTACTAACTATTCCCGAATGAAACAAAATTCTACAGTTCTGGTCGCCACATTCACAAAAGGATGTGGATACTTTGGAGAGGGTGCAGAGGAGGTTCACCAGGATGTTGCCTGGTATGGAGGGCGCTAGCTATGAAGAGAGGTTGAGTAGATTAGGATTATTTACATTAGAAAGACGGAGGTTGAGGGGGTCCCGATTGAGGTCTACAAAATCATGAGAGGTATAGACAGGGTGGATAGCAAGAAGCTTTATCCCAGAGTGGGGGACTCAATTACTAGGGGTCACGATTTTAACGTGAGAGGGGAAAAGTTTAAGGGAGATATGTGTGGAAGGTTCTTTATGCAGAGGGTGGTGGGTGCCTGGAATGCATTGCCAGCAGAGGTGGTAGAGGCAGGCATGATAGCGTCATTTAAGATGTATCTAGACAGATACATGAATGGGCAGGGAGCAGAGGGATACAGATCCTTGGAAAGTAGGTGACAGGTTTAGATCTGGATCGGCGCAGGCTTGGAGGGCCGAAGGGCCTGTTCCTGTGCTGTAATTTTCTTTGTTCTTTGTTCTTTGTTCCATTCTGTTACAATAAATAGAACTCCCACTTACGTAAACCAAAATAATAAAATAAAATAAATTAAAACTTAATCTCTCAAAATTACAGCCAGGATTTGTCTTCCAGAATGCTCTGTGCCTGCTCCGCTGATCCTCAGTCCAGAGGATCTCTGTTGAATTCTTGTGTCAGGAATGCCTTTCTCCGTCAAATTCTTGTGTCAGAAATGTTAGCTCAGAATGCTGCTATACCTTTACTTAGATCATGGTTACTCTGAGAGCTTAGAGAATTCTGTGATTTTCTCTTTAGAGCTGTTGGTTGTTAACTGTAATAGATAGCAGTTGCTCTCACACAGACTTTCAAATGCCATCTTCTTTTATACCCTTGATGACCTATTAATTTCTTACAATAGGATTGGTCCTAGGTTAGTCAAAACAATCAGATTTTAATTTAATTGGTTTTTAGTTTCTAAGTGCCTGATTTAAATTAATTGGCTGATTTTCAAACTGGTTACCTTACTGACAAAACAAACTATTGTCTGGGTTGCTAACAACACAGCTTTATAATACAATGTCTCAATTTCAGGAGCTGTCTGTGCACCTGCACTTTTTTAATCCTAGAAAAAACACATCATCTTTTAAACAGGCCATGTACTCTTCCTCCTCCCCCTCCCTCGTCATTTTACGAACATCAAATTCTAGCATCCTGCCTTCCAATCCACAAATACTCTATCCAACTTTGCAACACTTCCCTTATAATAAGGCCATTGTACCAAAGCTAGGCGGCATGACAGCCCCACCACAGTAGTGAAATTCTACTGCCTATTTTTGTCAGCTTTGTCTCACCTTCTCTGATCACTTGATTATAGGATCATAGCACAATACAGTTAAGAAAGGGGCTATTCGGCCCATTGTCTGAAAGACTATCTGATTAGCCCACATGTGCTGGCATGATTCCAGTGAATTTTCTACAAACCCTCTGTCTCTCGAATCACCTCTACAGGGATGAACACATGGCAATTGTTGCCCTTTTAAAGGGTCAGGTCACCTTTGGGAGACAACAATCAAAGACCCCCCCACAGCCTTTTCCTCTCAGTACCAATCTACCTAAGACTGATGGAAGTGGGCACAGCCTTGTCAAACTATATCTATATGCGCGTTGGATCAAATGGCCTGTTTTTAAGTTATAACTTGCATGCACTTACATATAATTTTTAGTTTTGCTTTAAGAATATGTTACCAATCGTGTCTGTGCTATTTGCTATGATTTTGTATCTTGAGCAATCAGGATATCATGGATTATGGGGAACAAGCAAGAAAGTGGATGTGAGGAATGTCGGATCAGCCATGATCCTATTGAATTGTGGAGCAGGCTCAAGGGGCCAAATTGCCTTCTCCTGTTCCTATTTCTTATGGCTTTATGGTCTTATAATTGATCTACCATTCTGTTAGAAGAATTCAAAATTTTATTTGCTGTAAAAAAATTGAGAAGAAGTAGCAAACCTCTCACATCTTTTGCTTCACCTTAAGCTTGCAATTGTGGCAAACGCCTGTGTGATGAGGTCACAGGCCAATGCATCTGCCCTCCCCAAACCGTTAAACCTTCATGTGAGACATGTGAGAAACAGACCTTCAGTTACCATCCTTTAATCGGCTGTGCAAAGTGCAACTGCTCACGAGAAGGAATCATTAAACCTACAAACCCAGACTGCAACCGACAAACTGGGCAGTGCCGGTGAGTAGAACTACATTCATCGATACTTTCATTTCTCAGCTTTCTTGAAATAACCAGCAATAAGCACCAACAGAAGCTTGCATATCGCTAGCATCTTCCTTTTAATTCATCAGGGGATGAGAGCTTCACTGCCCGAGCCAGCATTTATTGCCCATCCCCAATTTCCCTTGACAAGGTGGTGGTGAGCTAGTGTAGTAGAATGTTCCCTATTTGCTTCACAAGCGTATTATCCTGATTGGACAGCGAGCCAACTCCCGGCCTCTAGAAGTTCAAGTAGTGAGTGAGCCTGGAATGTGCTATGCAGGGAGTGCTGCATTGTTGGAGTGATGCCTCAAGGATGAAACCTGAAATCAAAGCATGAAGCATGAGGCATTCAGCTATTCAGCCCTTCTAGCCTACTGCACCATTCAGTAAGATTGTTATTCTTCTCCCTCAATTACACTTTGCCCAATGCCCAGTTTCTTGCCTTACCCGATATTCCCTTGATTCCCATAAAGTTAAAAATTTGTCAGTTCCAGCCTTGAATATACTCAATAACCGAGCATCCGCAGTTCCCTGGCCTAGAACATTACAAAGGCTCATAACCCACTGAGTGAAGAAAATTCTCCTTATCTCAATTCTAAATTGTTGACCCCTTATCCTGAAACTATGGGCTGGATTTTCATTCTCCCGGCATGTACTGGGAGTTGGGAAAACGCCCAGCTTCGCATGCCCATCTCAGGAAATATGAGTTCTGTTCACATGATTTTCATTGTCAGGAGATGGGTTCCAGCTGAAATAGGGCCAGATGGCTCCAGAAGCAGTTAAGACACAGCCACAGAGGCTCTGTGGAGGCAGACTGTTAAAAAGGTCTACCTCAGTCTAAGGAAGTTCTTCCCCACTGCAAAATAAAACAGGCTCTGCAGCCCTCACCCTGACACTCCCTCAGACTGCCTCACTACAGCCTCCCCCATCCATGTCACCTCATGTCCCAAGCAAAGGTATGAACCTCCCAAACAACTCCTCATGGCACTTCAATCCCATTCACCCAGTATACATTGTACAGAAGCGATGAACCCTACCGTAATCATTGATGGCTTTCCTTTATGTTAAAAAACTCCAATCATTGCAGCCTTTTAAAATGTGAAGCATTCAGATCCTTTAAGGTTTCATCAGCTGAAATTCACAACACACTTAAAACTGCTTAATTTGGTTTTAATGAACAATGTGAAATTGATAGAAAAAATCAGAAAGCCAGTGTTGTCAATCAAGCAGGAGCTCAGGTATTCCAATAATCCAGTGGTTATCTGGGCACTCAACCAAGAATACAGACAAGATTTGACTGAGAGCTCTAACACAACTGAAATACTGGAGTCCCTCCTTGATTGATAGCTCTATCTGATTTTTGCTATCAATTTCAGAGTGTTTATTTACATAAGGTTAAGTGTTTTGAAGTGTTTTGTGGTGTCAGCTATTGAAACTTTCAAGTGTCTGGATGCACCAGGATTTTGTATAAAGCTGGCCCAACTACGGAAGATGTGTAGAAGGGTTAGCCATGTCCATCTCCACAATTGAGCTTTACCACACTTTACCAAAAAATGGAAAATTCCAGCCAAGACTTGTAAAGTATTCTAGGGTCACGGGTAACATTTTTTAGCATATCTTCAGGTTGTTAAAGACATACTATATAAATCTTTAATTATGCAGACAGCAATGGGAATTTGGAGAAGAAAATGGTTAAATTCTGCCACTTTGGTTCTTTAAAAGTCGCATTATCGGTAGACAAAGGTTTTAAAATATTAAGAGTCTGATTATTTTAGAAAGAAATGTGCTCCATAGACCTTCTCTGAGCAGTTTAATTTCTTGCACATTTTCTGTTTAGATGCAAATCGAAAGTAACAGGCCGTCAGTGTGACCGCTGTTCTGTCAGTTACTCCCGTTACCCAGATTGCATTCCCTGTAACTGTAACCGTGAAGCAACACAGCCAAATGTGTGCGATCCCATAACTGGACAGTGTCTTTGCAAGGTCAGTCTTAAGGTTCTCAAATGTATTGTAATGGAACAAATGGCAGTACTTTGCAAATAAAACACAATACATGATCCATTTCTTATATTAGAGAATCATCTGACTAAAATGAAGGCTTGTTAATCATTGTGCCAAGTTGTTGAAAGAGGTATTCTATCAAACTCAGTTGTAACTGTACTTTTCCCATAGCTCTTCCAACTTTAAGTGTTCAAATACTTATCCAATTCCTTTTTGTATGTTACTGTTAAATCTATTTCCTCCACTCTTGCAGGAAGCATCTGGTAAACCTTTGTTGCACTCCCTCAAAACCAGAACATCCCTCCTTGGAAAAGGAGACCAAATCTGCACACAATACTTGAGGTGTGGTCTCACCAAGGCCCTATACAATTGCAGCAAGACATCCCTGTTCCTGAACTCAGATCCTCTCTGATGGCCAACATACCATTTGTTTTCTTTGCTACCTGGTGCATCTGCATGGTTACCATCAGCAACTGGTGAACAAGGATGACTGGGTCTCGCTGCTCCCCCTCTTTCCCAGGCTATCACTGTTCAGATAATAATCTGCCTTTGGTTTCTGCTCCCATAGTGGATAACCTCACTATACACATTATACTTCATCTACCACGCATTTTCCCATTCACATAACTTGTCTAAATCAAACTGAAACATCCCTGCATCCTCCTCATAGCTCACTCTCCCATCCAGCTTTGTGCCCCTTGCAAACCTGGAGATATTACATCATTCATATATATTTTGATTCGTTAATATTGTGAATAGCTCGGGTCCAAGTACTGATCCCTGCAGTACCCCAAAGATCACTACTTGCCATTCTGAAAAATATTCATTTATTTATTCCTACACTTCGTTTCTTGTCTGACACCCAGTTTTCTATCCATCTCAGTACACTACCCCAATCCCATGTGTTTAATTTTACAAGCTAATTTCTTATGTCGAAAGCCTGCTGGAAGTCCAAGTAAACCATATCCACTGGGCTCCACCTTACCAACTCTACTAGTTACATCCTCAAAAAAATTACAGTAGATTTATCAAGTATGATTTCCCTTTCGTAAATCCAAGCTGACTGTGTCCAATCCTGTCACCGTTTTCAAAGCAAAAATTGAAAGAACTGCAGATGCTGTAAATCAGGAACAAAAACAAAGTTGCTGGAGAAGCTCAGCAGGTCTGGCAGCATCTGTGAAGGAAAAAACAGAGTTCTGAGGAGGGGTCACCGGACCTGAAACGTTAACTCTGTTTTTTGCTTCACAGATGCTGCCAGACCTGCTGAGCTTTTCCAGCAACTTTTTTCAAAGTACCCTACTAATAAATCTTTTAGAAGGGGCTCGAGCATTGTCCCCACTGACAATGTCAGGCTAATTGGTCTTAAAATCTCTGTTTTCTGTCCACCCCCTTTATAAAATAGTGGGGTTACATTAGCTATACTGCAATCCATAGGAACAGAATCTATTGATTCTTGAAATAAAACCACCAATGCATTCACTACTTTTGGTGCCATTCCTGAAGTACCCTGGGATGTAGATTATTGTGTCCCGGGGATTTATCAGCCTTTAGTCCCATCAAATTTACAACACCATTTCACTACTAATGCTGATTTCCTTCAGTTCCTCTCTGTCACTAAACTCTATGGTCCCCAACATTTTTGGAGTTCCCCAATCCCTGTCAATCCCACCCTATACCCTCTGTTATTTTGAACACATTTGTAAATCGCCACTTAGACTTCTCTGTTTGAAAAATAATAACAACATCTTCAATCTCTACCCATCGCTAAAATTCCAGAAACTTGGTATATTTTTAGTAAGTGTCTGCATCCTGTGCAAGAGCAGTCTGTGGGTTGATAAAGAACCATGCAATAACTAACCTTTTGTTTACAATAGCCACTCCTCACATGCTTTGGAATTTTTCAGTATTATCAATGTGTTTACAGTAACAGATTGTGTCTACTGTCTGTCATGGCTCAGTTTCAGATTGGTTGGCTATTAGGAGAGTTGCCAAGCAGAGTCAGGGATAAAGGGAAGATTCCAATGTCAGTGGTGGAAAAAAAAACAGATTACAGCAACAAAGGTTAAAACATTAGTTAAAAGAAATAATGTAATGAAGCTGTGGTTTTTACATTATATAGAGCAAATACTAAGAGTCTGATTTTAATTCCTTTTTATTTCTTTCCTTTCCATTTTAATGGACATTTAACCTATTAAATATGAAGGGAAGAGAATCAGATAACAATACAACACAGAAGGGGACTATTCAGTCTGTCAATACTATGCCAGCTCATTGAAGGAACTGTCCAATTAATCTCAATTATTCATAATTTCAAACACCTCCCTTCAGCTACAACATCTCCAGTCATAGAAAACTAGAAGATAGGAGCAGGAGGAGCCATTCGGCCCTTTGAGCCTGCTCTGCCATTCTTCACAATCATGGCTGATCGTCCAATTCAATTGCCTAATCCTGCTTTTTCCCCATAACCTTTGATCCCATTTGCCCCAACTGCTACATCTAGCTGCCTCTTGAATTCATTCAATGTTTTAGCATCAAATACTTCCTGTGGTAATGAATTCCACAGGCTCACCACTCTTTGTGTGAAGAACTGTCTCCTCACTTCTGTCCTAAATTGTCTACGTCGAATCCTCATACTGTGACCCCTGGTTCTGGACACACCTGCCTTTGGGAACATCCTCCCTGTGTCTACCCTGTCCAGGTCCTGTTAGAATTTTATAAGTCTCGACGAGAATCCCCCCTCATTCATTTGAACTCCAGCAAACTCATACGTCAGACCCACCATCCCCAGAATCAACCTGGTAAACTTTTGCTGCACTCCCTCGAGAGCAAGAGCATCCTTCCTCAGAAAAGGAGACCGAAATTACACGCAGTATTCCAGGTGTGGTTTCACCAAGGCCCTGTACAACTGCAACAACACGCCCTTCTTCTGTACTCGAAATCTCTTGCAATGAAGGCCAACATACCATTTGCCTTCTTTACCGCCTGCTGCACCTGCATGTTTCCCTTCAGCCAATGATGCACAAAGACCCCCAGGTCCTGCTGCACATTCCCCTCTCCCAATTTACAGCCATTCAGGTATAAATTTGTCTTCCTGTTTTTGCTTCCAAAGTGAATACCCTCACATTTATCCAAATGATACTACATCTGCCATTGATTTGCCCACTCACCCAACCTGTTGAGATCATGCTGAAGGATCTCTGCATCTTCATCACAGTTCACCCTCCCACCCAATTTGGTGTCATCTGCAAACTTTGCATCTGCAGTTTGTTCACATAACTAAAATCCCTTGTCCTAGATAGCGAGCTAAATTTCAAAATTCTAAAATTATGTAGACAAGTCAGTAAGGGAACATTTTGTTCATAGTGACCATCAGTTAGATTTAGGATAACTATGGAAAAGAATAGGAAGATGCCAGGAATAAAAGTTCTAAGCTGGAGAATGGATCGTTTTATTGATATGATTTGGTCTGAGCGGTCCAACAGCTACTTGCAGATATAACTGTCAGAACACTGAGAGGTATGCAAGAAGGAAATAGCAAGAGTACAGGGTAAATATATTCCCATAAATACAACCCTGGATGTTGAGGGACATAAAGGTTAGGATTAAGAGAATAAGGAGAAGTTTGTGGCAGGTACCGGGGATCTGTACTGCAGAGTCCCCAGAGGATTATTAAAAGTAAATAAGTGAACCAAAAAAGGAAATTAGGAAAGCAAAGTGAATCATGAGAAAGCATTAATGGGCTACAGTTTCTCTGAATGAAAATCTGTTTCCTGTGGGGTTCCATGGAGTGCAGTGCTCAGACCCTTGCTGTTTGAGGCATACATTAATGATTTGGATTTAAAAGTAAGGGTTATGACTCCCAAGGTCTGTCCACCAAGGCACAAGTCAGGAGTGTGATGGAATACTCCCCATTTGCATTGGTGGGTGCACCTCCACGGTGGACTGGCTTTGAGGAGTCAGCAGTTGAGTTACTCACCACAGTATTCCTAGCCTTCGACCTGCTTTTGTAACCATTATGTTCATGCAATGAATCCAGCTGAATTTCTGGTCAATGGTAACCCCAAGTATGTTGATAATGGTGGATTCAGTGATGGTAACATCATTGAATGGCAAAGGGCAGTGATTAGATTGTCTCTAATTGGAGATGGTCATTGCCTGGCATTGGCGTGGTGTGAATGTTACATGCCACTTGTCACTCCAAGCCTGGATATTGTCCAGATTTTGTTGCATTTGAACATAGACTGCTTCAGTATCAGAGGAGTTATGAATGGTGCTGAACATTGTGCAATCATCAGCGAACATCCCCACTTCTGACCTTATGATGGAGGGAAGGTCATTGATGAAGAAGCTGAAATTCATTGAACTTAGATACTCCTGCAGAGATGTCCTGCAGCAGAGACAACTGACCAACAACCATAACCATCTTCCTATGTGACAGGTATGACTCCAACCAGCAGAGAGTTTGCCCCCAATACCAATTGATTCCCAAAACAAAGTTGCTAGAAAAGCTCAGCAGGTCTGGCAGCATCTGTGAAGGAGAAAACAGAGTTAATGTTTTGACCTGAAATGTTAACTCTGTTTTCTCCTTCACAGATGCTGCCAGACCTGCTGAGCTTTTCCAGTAACTTTGTTTTTGTTCCTGATTTACAGTATCCGCAGTTCTTTTGGTTTTTACCCATTGATTCCAGTTTGGCTAGGGCTCCTTGATGCCACACTCTTGTCAAAAGCAGCCTTGATGTCAAGGGCTGTCACTCTCACCTCACCTCTGGAATTCAGCTCTTTTGTCCATGTTTGAACCAAAGCTGTAATGAGGTCAGGAGCTGAGTGGCCCTGGTGGAACCCAAACTGGGAGTCACTGAGCAGGTTATTGCTGAGCAGGTTCTGCTTGATAGCACTGCTGATGAGACCTTTCGTCACTTTACTGATGGTCGAGAGTAGACTGATAGGGGGTAATTGGCTGGGTTGGATTTGACCTGCTTTTTGTGTACAGGACATATGTGAGCAATTTTCCACATTGTTGGGTAGATGCCAGTGTTGTAACTGTACTCGAACAGCTTGCCTAGTGGAGCGGGAAATATTGGGGCACAGGTTCTCAGTACTATTCCTGGGATGTTGTTAGGGCCAATAGCCTTTGCAGTATCCAGTGTCTCTAGCCTTCACATGGAGTGAATCGAATTGGCTGAAGATTGATATCTGTAATGCTGAGGACCATTGAAAGAAGCCAAGATGGATCACCCACTTGGCACTTCTGGCTGAAGATTGCTGCGAAAGCTTCAGCCTTATCTTTTGCACTCATGTGCTGGGCTCTTCCATCATTGAGGACGGGGATATTTATGGAGCCTCCTCCTCCAATGAGTTGTTTAATTGTCCACCACCATTCACGACTGGATGTGGGAGGACTGCAGAGCTTATGTCTGAACCATTGGTTGTGAGATCGCTTAGCTCTTCTATCACTTGCTGCTTATGCTGTAGTCCTGTTTGGTGGCTTCACCAGGTTGACACTTCATCTTCAGGTATGCCTGGTGCTGCTCCTGGCATGCCCTCGTGCACTCGCCATTGAACCAGGGTTGATCCTCTGGTTTGATGATAATTGTTAAGTAGGGATATACCGGACCATGAGGTTGCAGATTGTACTGGAGTACAGTTATGCTGCTGTTAATGGTCCACAGCATCTCATGGATGCCCAGTGTTGAGTTGCTAGATCTGTTCCAAGTCTGTCCCATTTAGCACGGGGATAGTGCCACACAACACAATGGAGAATATTGTAAATGTGAAGATGGGACGACTTCTTCACAAGGACTGTCATTCTTACCGATACTATCACGGATAGTTTCATCTGCAGTTGGCAATTTGGTTAGGATGAGGTCAAGTATGTTGTTCCCTCTTGCTGCCCTCACCACCTGCCGCAGACTCAGTCTAGCAGCTATATCCTTTAGGACCCAACTGGCTTGATTGGCAATGTTGCCATGAGCCACTGTTAGTGGTGGACATTGAGATTCCCCACCCCGAGTACATTTTATGCCCTTGCCACCCTCAGTGCATGTCTAGCGATAATACCACTAGGTCATCACCTCCACAGCTCACATGCTTGTTCCTATTGCATAATTATTGTTTGGGGACCTATAAATTATCCCCACAAGTGACTTCTTTCCCCTACTATTCCTCATCCCCACTCAAACTAATTTTTCATTCTGAGCTCCTGTACTAAGGTCATCTTGAATGATTGCACTAAATTTAATTTTCAATTTGAGAGACTGGGAGATCACAAACTGTGGAGCATTAGAAAATTTCAGAATTGAGATTAATAATTATTGTTGTGTAAAGATATTAATGGGTCTGTATACCAAATGGAGTTAAGATACGGATCAGTAATGATCTGTTTGTGATTCAGAGAGCAGGTTCAAGGGTTTTATAGGAACAGAAGGACGCCAGTGTCAAATGATGTGATTGGTAAATGGAATGAAAAGAGTAGGATTTGGTCCAGGTGGGTTCAGAGCGAGTAGGTAGATAAAAGAGGCAGACTCAGGTAGATTTGGCTTTTTTTATTCATTCATGGGATGGTTGCAGGTGAGACAGCATTTATTGCCCACAGGGCAGTTAAGAGTCAACTACATTGCTGTGGGTCTGGATTCACATGTAGGCCAGACCAGGTAAGAATGGCAGTTTCCTTCCTTAAAGGACATTAGAGAACCAGATGGGTTTTTCTGATAATTGACAATGGATTTGTGGTCATTATTAGGTTTGTAATTCCAGATATTGATTGAATTCAAATTTCACCATCTGCCATGGTGGGATTTGAACCTGGGTTCCCAGAATGTTATCTGGATCTCTGGATTAACAGTCCTGTGATAATACCACTAGGCCATTGCCTGGCCATTGCCTCCCCATTGCTGAGTGAGGGAATGGAAGCCATACAACTCAATAATAAAGAAGTTTATGGGCTTCTTGCACTTGTTAGAGATGGCATGGAGAAGACTGTAGATATCTAACTACAAGACAGGAGTGCAACTTGGCTTTGATTGTTGCCCTGATGGTATATTGGATGACAGATCTTTGGTATGTGCATTTATTCTTTATCACTTTAATCTAAGCTAGATGTGCATTTAATGTTAAAATACTGTGAATAAAGCAAATTTCTACAAATGCTGAAAAGCAAAATAAAAATGGGAAACATTGGAAATGCTCAGCAGTCCAAACAGTGCCTGACGAGAAAGAACCCTAATAATTGATCTGAAATATTAACTCCTGTCTCTGCACACTCTACTAGACCTACTGAATATCGAAATACATTTATCGGAGTGACTCAAACATTATATTCAAGATGACAAATAACAGTACTGATACAAACTTTAAATTCTTCTATTTTGCCCATTTTAGGAGAATGTAATTGGTGCACAGTGTGACATCTGCCGACCTGGCTCATTCTATCTTGATCCAGCCAATCCCAAAGGCTGCACCAGCTGCTTTTGCTTCGGAATAACAAATGAGTGTCGAAGTTCTGATAAGTCCAGGACTAAAGTGAGTGAAGAAATGCGCGTTGTCAATTTTTAAATTTTTCCAAATTTGTGCTTAGCACTGAAATATGCATGATAATTAGAAGTTTTTTTGTTAAGAATTTGGATTAGAAAGATTTTAGGTAAATAGATACATCAGAGTTGCCAGTTCTAATTGACGTATTCCTGGGATGCCATCACATAGCTTCTAAATATTCTACTCTCGTGGCCCTATCATTTGCCTGACAAGGTGACGTCCCTGGCTACAACTAATGTGAGAGTGAATGGGGTCATCATAACTGGATACCGGAAATCTGAAATATAGGGTGAACATGTTTGTTATACTTGACAGGACTTCCAGCGCCTGTGGTGAAAGAAGGAGACGGCTGAATTTTGCATGTTCCTTATAGGCTGGCTGGGAGCACATGACTAGCATCAGAAATAACTCCCAGAATCTTCCTTCCAGCATGACAGTTGATGACAACATGTCCACCAACAGCTACTTTTCTCCATGGTACTGTACTTAAAATTCCTTAAGAAGAAGAACCACAGGTTCTCAATGCCTAGATCACCTTTTTCCTTGGATGTTGCTTATAGCAGTATCGTAGAGAATAGTTTGCCATTCCTGGATGATCCAAGGTCTTCCTCAAAGGCTGGTAATACTAATATATATGGGATTTACCCATGTTAGTGAAAGAATGTGCTCCTTGAGTATTATTGGAGCTGCATTCATTCCATCACACACCCGGCTTGTGCCTTGTAGATTGTGGTCAGACATAGAGATAAAGCACCCATTTCAGAAGACCCAGCCTCTGACCTGCTCCTGTAGCCATGACATATATGTGACTGGTCCAGATGAGTTCCTGGGGTACAGTAGATTCATACCTGATGCGGCTTTGCTGGCAGATACTTCCAACCTGACCAGCCCGGTCTTACCATTCAGAAGAGTTTCATGCTTATGTTTGGATTGGGTTAACTAATAGATTAATTGTCAACATCTAAAACTTCTGCTACCTTTTCTTTAACTCATTCATGAGATGGGTATAGTGCTGGTATTATTGACATTTACCACCCCATCTGTAATTGAACTTAAGAGATATCTTCTTGACCTGCTGCAGTCCATGTGGTGCCAATACAGCCACAGTACTGATAAAAAAGGAGTTCTAGGATTTTTGACAAAAGTAAGGGGTGGCGATATAGTCCCAAGTCAGATCTATTTTGTGTACATAGTGTTATATTACACTGAATTAGATACAATGAAACAGGCCATTCTGCCCATCTGGTCTATGTCAGTGATATTGGTCCAGGCATGTCTTCTCCAAACTCGATTTGTCATGCCTGCTCAATATATATTTTTATTCCTTCATCATGTGTTTATCCAGCCTCCCCTTAAAGGCATCTGTGCATTCAGTTTAATTATTCCGTATGGTTGTAAGTTTCACATTCTAATCACTCTCCTGAAGGCTGTATTTTATTTGTAAGTCACTATCTTAGTTCTGGTTCCTACTATCCTAGTTCTGGTCTGCCATTCAATAGGATCATGGGTGATCTGACATTCCGTAAGTCCATTTTCCTGCCCTTTCCCATTATGCTTGATTCTCCTACTGATTCAGAATCTACCTCAGCCTTAAATATAAACAAGGACTCTGCCCCCACAGCTCAGGCAAGGAGTTCCAAAGACTCTCAACCCTCTGAGGGAAGAAATTCCTCCTCCTCTCACCTCATCCTTTGATTTTGAGACTATGCTCTCTGGTCCTAGACTTTCCCATGAGGGGAAACATCTTCTTAGCATTTACCCTGTCAAGGCCCTTAAGAATCCTTTATGTTTCGATAAAATCACCTCTCATTCTTCTAAACTCCAAAGAGTAGAGTCCCAACCTGTTTAGCCTTTGCTCATAAGACAATCCCTACATATTGGAGATTATGTTTAATACATAAACAAGTGCCAATTGAACACAGGAATGTTTTTAATTGTTGATTTAGTTTTGATGTTGCAGTTTAGATTCATACTTTCCTTTAGCATATGCAAATGAAGAAATGGAATTTACTCACGGGGAATAAACAGAGTATTCCAGTTGTTTATAACCAACGGAGTAATACTGTCGTTGCTGATGTACAAGAACTACCAGATGTTATTCGTGATTTATACTGGTTAGCCCCGGAGTCCTACCTGGGAGACAAGGTAAATGAAGCATAAGACTGTGGAATCAAATCAAGCCATAAGCTGTTGCAGGCTGTCAGGCTAATCACATCGGTGTCATGTTATTCTCTGCTTCAACTGCTGAATCTAATCTCACTCTCCAACTTCATTTTCTTTAACAATCTGCTTTATCAAGCAACCGATATGGATTCTGCTTTAGCAGTACTTTGTGAAATAGTTGCATCTACTAACTGAAATCTATTCTTTCTAACTTCAGTTCAAATGCTTTTTAAATGAACATTTCTTACGCAGCTTATGAGTATCAGTGGCAAGGTCAGCATTTGTTGCCCATCCCTAGATGCATTTGAGGAGGGTAATTGTGAAGGGCTATTTATAATTACTTTCAAGTTGTACCCATTCCTTACCATCAGCTTGACACTACAAGCAATATCATTAGAACTATTCGGAAACTTTGCTAAACTTGAAGACCTCTTCTGAGTTACTGTCTTACCTCCTCACCTTTATGCTTAAAAGCACTCAATTTTCAATGCTGCAACACAGCTTCAGAAGTATCTTCTCATCAATTTTCCACCAGGTCTCTTCATATGGTGGCCTCCTGACATATCAAATAAAATCCTTTGGCTTACCAAGTGAAGGGATGACTTTACTTGAGAAAAGGTCCGACGTTGAATTGAGAGTGAGTACCCTTCTTTGCATGTAACTAAATACAGGGTTTGTGAAATTAGTCGGTGGCACTAAGATACGACCTGGTCACAGAGGGGACATTTATGTGCAGTTTTCCCACTGCATTCAGTTCTGTGCATCTCGGGAAGGAAATATTAATGGATAGAAAATGATTACATTTTCAAGTCAGAATGGTGAGCGGCTTGGAGGAACCTTGGTGTTCCCATGTATCTACTGCCCTAGTCTTGTGGGTTTGGAAGGTGCTGTTTAAGGTTAAATGACAAAGACAGGTTGTATTGACAAGGCTGGTATTTCTCAAGAAGATGAAGGGATGACTTAATTGAGGTAATTAAATGATTAAGGAATTTGAGAGGATAGCTGGAGAGAAACATTTTCTTCTGTTGAAGGGAAGTCAGGAACAGGAGTGAAATAACCTTAAAAATAGATCCAGCTCTTCAGGGCGGTATCACACTAATAGGAGTGAAAACCTGGAACTGTCACTCACAAGAAACTGTTGAGGCTGGTAGGGTCAATTAAAATACAGAAAACAGATCATTAGATTTTTGTTGGGTAAGGGTTATGCAATCAAGCTGAGTAGTTGGAGTTAAGAAACAGAACAGCCAGGATTTAATGGAATGTGGAACAGCCTCGAGGGTCAGAATGACGTTGTTCTGCTTCTGTACTCTAAAGTGCAATCACAACATTGGAAATGAAGTCAGTAGGAGAAATATAACATGCATGTACTCTGTTACAGCAAAATTACTTCAACGCTTTTATATTGGAAGGAATCTACACTGTGCCATGCGACAATGACCACCAAATTTCCGAGGGCTTGCAAGTTCCATTTTGAATTATAGCTGGAATCCAAAAACCAAACCACTTAATTAGTTAGGATGCACTTGTTAGCTGGCCAGTGTTCACATTAATTGACAAAGCTACCAGTTGCTGCTTTTGTGCATTTATGCAACTTGATGTATTCATGGAACTTGTAATGGCAGGTCATATCAGATGTGTGATTTTCAGAAAGGCCCAGTGGAGCCTGATTATGTTAGTGAAGCTGTTGATGAGCAGAGTGAGATCTGTCCCCTTATCTACCACAAGACTGTAAGACATAAGAACAGCAGAAGGTGAATAGATAGTTGAGTGTTGTTGGAGCTGCACTCATCCAGGCAAGTGGGGAGTCGCGCCTACTCGGTCATCAAAAGGAGCTAGTTGACCTGATGCCCCTCACGTCTTCTTTCCTGCCCTTTCCCCATAACCCATGATTCCCCGATTGATCAGGAATCTGTCTCTCTCAGCCTTAAATATACACAAGGAGTCTGCCCCACAGCTCCCTGTGGCAAGGAGTTCCAAAGACTCAAAACTCTCTGAGAGAAATAATTTCTCCTCATCTCTATCTTAAGTGGGTCCTCCTTTATTCTGAGACTAAAGAAACTACTTCTGAGACTATTATCCTGTCAATTTCCTCATCTGCCATCTAAATAAAATCTGTCTTTGAATGTTAACAATTTATTTAAAAACATATGGTGAATATACAATAACATAATAAACTATAGGTGTAAACATTAGGAGATAAATATTGACTTTTCTTTTTAGGGTGAACAGATGACTGTCGTGTACTTTGATCCCCGGAATCCACTTCCAGATCGAGTTTATCATGGACAGGTCCGACTTTTAGAGGTAAATGTAATCCTATTGATGGTAATTTAATCATTTGTTATATTTAGTAAAGTTAGGTAGAATTTTACTACTCAAAAACAGACGATTCAGCCCAACATTCTATTCTATTGATAATGTTTCATGCAAGGGTCTTTCCAATCCTACTTCATCCCACCTAATTTCATATCTGTCTATTCCTTTCTCCCTCATATTTTTATTTAGCTTCCCCTAAAATGCATCTATTCTAATCTCCTCAGCTACTCCTTGTGGTAAAGATCACGACAGGAGTTCCTCAGGTTAATGTCCTGGACTTAACCATTTTCAGTTACACTGTCAACGACCTTTCTTCATTGTATGGCCAGGAGTGGGGATGTTTGCTAATGACTACACAAAGTTCAGTCCTATTTGCAACTCCCTAGATACTGAAATGGTCTATTTCCACTTGCAACAAGACCAGAACAACGTTCAGTCTGAGCTGATAAATGAAAAGCAACATTTGTGTCAGACAACGACCATCTCCAAAAAGAGAGAATCTAACCATTCCTCTTTAATGGCATTCGAATGACCGAATCTCTCCTGATCAACATCTTGGGAGTTACCATTGACAAGAAACTGAATTGTACAGGCTATTTAAATACTGTGCCAAAAGCATAGGTCAGAGACTCAGAATTCTGCAATGAGTAGGTCATTTCCTGACTTTCAGAGCCTGTGTGCACAGCCTACAACGCACAAACCAGGACTACGATAGAATACTCCTGACTTGCCTGGATGAGGGCAGTTCCAACAACTCAAGAAGGTTGACACTATCCAGGATAAACCAGCCAGTTGGTCCCCCTGACCATCCACCATTTTCCACACTCATGCTTCTGATAGGGGTGCTCAGTAGCAGCAGTGTGTGACATCTACAAGTTGCACCACAACAATTTTCCAAGTCTCCTTTGACAGCACCTGTTCAGCTACCTCATAATCATTTTGAATACTTAAAAACCCAATTACGGACCATTTTCTTGGGCCTTCTGTTTTCTGAAAAAAGGAGCCCCCTATCTGTTCAGGTTTTCTGATGTTTACAAACTTTCGGTTCTGTTAACATTCCTATAAAATATTCCTCATTTGATAACAAGTAAAATGTTTAAAAATGCTGAAATGTCCAATTAAAAATGGAAAAATTAGCTATCTGTTCTATTGACAGGATAACTTTCGACATGCTGTCATTAACACTCCAGTAACTAGGGAAGACTTCATGCTTTTGTTGAGCAATTTGGAGGAACTACACGTTAGAGCACTTTATTATTCACAAACACAACGCCTTTCCCTTGGCCAAGTTCAACTCGAGGAAGCCTCTGTTTCTGGAACTGGAAATCCTGCTACTGATGTGGAAGTGTGCTCATGTCCCCAAAACTACTTGGGAGATTCCTGCCAGGTAGGACCTGTCATTCACTGAAGTACACATTTTTCTGTGATATGCGACATAACAATTTTGAACATTTTAGCTTTTGAAAACAAAATAGATGTTTTGATAATTGAATATTTTGTCTTGTGTCTAGGGCATGAACTGTTCAAAATCCTGGTTTTCTTTATTTTTAACATTGTGAAACAGGCACTAATCTGACTAGGAACTGTTAATCTAATAACTTTCCAACGGGTTGATTCTGCTGGGATAGAACCTCCTCACAAATTAGTCTTGCAGCTTTCTTAAAAAGTGTATTAGTCCTTATTTCTGTATCATTTAACATCACAAGTGTGTGGATGTGTAAAAGAATATGCTTGCCAATTCATAAAGTGTGTATATTGCCTCAAATTACTTTGTTTCCAGCTGACAGATGGTTGGTTTAATATTTTATAAGTTGATTGTATATCTGGTGATCCATTCTACTCAGTAATGTAGTGACTGTATGGGTTTAATAAATGCTACATTGACATGCTTGACATTTGTAGTATCTTTTGTTTTCCCCTTTGTGATGATTTTATTCTTTGCACATATTTATTTCTTAAAGTTTTTATATTTCTTGCTGATTAAGTTCTGCAGCTAATATTCTCAGTTGTTTCTGAGTTTGGTTTTATTTGGCATCTAATATCATCAAATAATAAGAAAAAGTACAGAATATTGGCTTGCTCATGGGTTAGAGAATTTGAGTTAATTTGAACATGATGAAGATTTGTTTACAGCTGCTGTTTCTTCAGTAAGTTAATACTTTTATATTATCACTGGAGAAATACATATTGTTTATTAAAACTACGTGTAACTTTCAGTGCTGTATTTGTCATAGATCCATTCAGGGAAACTGTGTGAATTGCATCTTTTATATTAATACACAACTGATTTATTTTTTCTGATTTTTGCTTACTTTTACTTCTGTAGTATTATGCGTCTCTGCTCCTCTTCCACTCTCCACAAATTTAAGAAAGAAACAGAGAAAATAGGAGCAGAAGTAGGCCGTACAACCCTTTGAACATCCAAAACTGGGCTGCCCATATTCTAATTAACACTAAGTCCTATTAGCCACCACCCTTATGCCCATTGACTGACACTGCCTCTTGATTTGGCCACACATCAGTTCTAAAATTCTCATCCTTGGAATCAAAATGTCTTCAACCTTCCATAACCTACTTCAGCCCTACAACCCCCAGGATCTCTGTGTTCCTCCAGTTTTGGAAGTAGTTCATGGGGCTCCTGGGACTCCAAAAATTGGACAAGGAAACTTCCGGATGATTACTACATACCACATCCCTCAGCTGATGAATCAGTGCTCCTCCATATTTATCACCACTTGGAGGAAGCACTGAGAGTGGCAAGGGCACGGAATGTACTCAAGAGTCTTCAAGGTTTACCACCAAGAGTGACTTCACAGCACCCCTACTGACACAGGTGGTTAAATCCTAAAGAACATAGCTGCTCGTCTTGGTCTGCTGTAGGTGATGAGATAACCAATAAGAAGCAGAAACATACTAGACATCCTCACCAACCTACTTGTCCCAGATGCATCCGACCATGACAGTATCAGTAGGCAGTTCAGAAAAGATTCACTAGGATGTTTCCCAATATGGAAGGATTATCTTTTGATCAGAGCTAAATAAATAGGCACCGTACTTAGTGGAGTTTAGAAGAATGAGAAGTGATCTGATTGCTGGGAGGATGTTTCCCCTCATGGGAGAGTCTAGGATCAAAGGGCTTAGCCTTTGTGAGTCTTGGAACTTCTTGCCTCAAAGAGTTGTGGCGGCAGAGCCCTTGTGTATGCTTAAGACTGAGGTAGATAGACTCTTGATCAGTAGGAGAATCAAGGGTTATGGGAAAAGGGCAGGAAAGTGGATGTGAGGAATGTTGGATCAGTCATGATCCTATTGAAATATGTTGTAGGCTTGAGGGCCAAAATACCTACTGCTGTTCCTATTTCTTATGATCTTACGGTCATTGGACAGGTCATCAATATGCTGTCTTTCAGTTTATCGTGTTGTGTGGCATTGTCACTGTGCTAAATGGGATAGATTCAGAACAGATTTAATTAGTCAAAACTGGGCATTCATGACATGCTGTTGGGTCATCCACAGCAAAATTTCACTCAGCCACAATGTAAAACCTCGTGATCTGCCATACCCCCGCTCAAATGTAATTGTCAGACAAGGGACCAACCTTGATTTAACGAAGAGTATAGCAGGGCATGCCTTGAGAAGCACCAGGCACACCTAAACATGTGGTAACAACCTTGTGAACTTACACTATAGGAACACTTGAATGCCAAGTGTGTAGACATCCTATAAATAGCATTGAAACATATAAGAAAATGAGTGGACTTGACTGGGTGGATGTGGAAAGAGTGTTTTTAGAATATAGAAGTACTGGAGTAGGAAACAATTCTGAAGAAGGGTCATTGGACCTAAGACATTAACTCTGCTTTCTCTCCTCAGATGCTGCCAGACTCGTGAGTTTTTCCTGCAGTTTCTGTTTTTGTTACAGGAGCAATTATACAGGGCTTTGGTGAGACTACACCTAGAATATTGTGTATAGTTTTGGTTTCCTTATCTAAGGATAGATATTCTGGCCGTGGAGAGAGTGCAATGAAGGATGGCAGGACTGATGAATGAACAGAGACTGGATTGGTCAGGACTATATTCACTCGAGTTTAGAAGAATGCAGAGGGATCTCATATAAACTTATGAAGCATAATGTTGAGAGTCATGTTCCCATGAATTAGCACAGAACTTGGGCCATTGATCCAAACAACTCTTCATGTTCTGTTCTAATTTTCAGCCATTGGGCACAACCCTCTGTGTAGCATTCTACCTTCCATTTCTGAATGTTGTAGATTCATGTAATTTTTGAGGGAATTATACATAATTTCTAGATATTCTCTAATCAACCCATTCAGACGTATTATGGCACACCTCTGGAGCAGCTGGGACTTGAACCCAGGCCTCCTGGCTTAGGGGTAGGGATGCTTTCACTGTGCCACAAAAGCCATTTCTAGGCAGAGAATTTGGCACAGTACTGTGTTAGAAGTGCTGCTTTGTCCATGTGGGTGGGGAGAGGAGAGGCGTCTTTTTGTTTGTGCTGTTAAACACAGATCCTGCTTGTCCTCTTGCATGAATATAAAAGATATCATGATTACTATTTTAAAGAAGAGCAAGAGAATTCCCACTACTGTCCTGGCTGGTATTTATCTTTCAAACATCATCAAATTGGTGACAGGACAGGTCCTAACCAGACAGTATAAATTTAAGAAAATTGTGAAAATTGCTGGAGGGCAGCTAAGGTGGCTTCCAATGGTAACAATCAAAAGAGAATTTTAAATATATTTAAAATGGATTAATTCACAGGAGTGCAGGTAAAGATCAGATGACTGGAACTAACTAAATATTTATTTTCATGGGACAGTCACAGTGAGCTGAACAGCTTCCTTCTGTGCTGTAAAATTCTGCGAAATGAAAAATAAGTTAATTAGTTTTCGATGTGATGGTTAAGTCAGGAATGTCAATCTGAGGAACTTCCTGCTTTTATTTAAAAAGGCTTAAGGGACATATAATGTCCACAAACATTGCCTGAGTTTAACATCCTGTCATTAAGCTATTCCTCTAATGTTGTAAAGGCTCATCAGTGCTCCACTGAAATGTCAGTTTTGAATTAAATATTCATGCCCTGGAACGGAAGTTAAACACAGAATCTTGTATTGGCAGGCAATAAACCAGCAATAAACCAGCAAGGTTGCTGCCACCATCCTCTTTAAGTGTAGGAAACAACAGGGCTTCCTTGCTCTAGTGTGGTTCAGAAAAAAAACACTTCCTGGTCTAAACTAAAAGAGTCTCTTGTTGTTAATAGAGATAGTAGGAACAGCTGATGCTGGAGAATCTGAGATAACAAGGTGTAGAGCTGGATGAACACAACAGGCCAAGCATCAGAGGAGCAGGAAGGCTGACGTTTTGGCTCTGGACCCTTCTTCAGAATAAGGGTCTAGACCCGAAACATCAGCTTTCCTGCTCCTCTGATGCTGCTTGGCATGCTGTGTTCATCCAGCTCTACACCTTGTTATCTCTCGTTGTTAATATCCAATTTATTGCCTGTTAGTAACTAGTTGCAGATTACATTGTTACAGAGACTTTTAAGAGGACCCGATGTTAGTTCTCATTCCTTACAGATCTCCAACTCTCCATAAGACGACATCATGTGTAATATTGCCATTTTTAAAATTATGGTTTGTAGTCTACAAGGATTTATGATATGAAATGAAGCCCGCTGATGAACATGGATTGCAGCAGCGTTCCGGGTGTACATGTTTTTTGATATAGGAAATGTAGTCACCTTACTCAAGAAACAAACAATTCTGTCATTGTTCAGATAATCAGTTCAGATATCCTTTATTGCATTCCACTGAGAGTAACCTCATTTAAAGGTACATTGCTATAGATTTCTGACAATATTTCAATTGTGCAAAGATCACAACTGGAGTTTACATATTCACAGCTGTGATGCTATAATATTTTGACAGCTGTTTAAATATTTACAAAGGAATTATAATACAGTGAAAAATTTAAACTTCAGGTGTGACCTCTGATTTGTAACAAAATTGGTAGGTTGAGAATTAGCTGTCTGTACTTTGCTAATTAATCTAGTCTCTTTGATAGGAATACCTGTACAACCATCTGTCATTGGGCTCATTACCAAATGCATTGATTCTCCACTTTCAAATGGAATGCAGAATATAAGGGAATTGGACAGGATGTTTACCCCACTCATAATATTCATTGCAATGTGTTGCACCTTAGAACGGAGGAACTTGCTTTGTCTCTGCAGACAGTTGCTTACTTAGTGATGGAGGGCTTCCAATTAATCCTTTAACTTTGAGAGACTGTCTATCATCATTACTTGAATGGCCAGTCTGTCCCCAGGCACGATTTTGCCATCTCTGAGAAATCATTGCTGGGTGATAG